GGTAAAAGTGGACATCCTAGTCTGGTACTTGATCTTAGAAGGAAAACTTTCAGTTTTTCACCATTTAATAAGATGTTAGCTATGGATTATTCATATATGGCTTTATTATGTTGAGATATGTTCCATCAATCCTCATTTGAGAGTTTTTATCAAAAATGCATATTACATCTTGTCAAAAGCTTTTTCTGCATCTATTGATATGATCATATGACTTCTATCTTTCCCTTTATTCATGTGAATTACATGATTGATTTGCAGATGCTAAACCATTCTTGCATCCCCGAAACAAATCCCACTTGGTTATGGTGTTTGATTGTTTTAATCTGTTGAATTTGGTGTACTAAGACTTTGTTGAGGATTTTTGCATCTATGTTCATCAGGGATATTGGTCTGTAGTCTTCATTTTTTGTGACATCCGTGTCTTCTTTTAGTATTAGAGTGATGTGGGCCTTATAAGATGTGTTTGGGAGACTTCCCTCTTCAAATCTGAAAGAGTTGAAGAGTTGAAGAAGGATGGGTATTACTTCATCTCTGAAGGCTAGTTAGAACTCACTAGTGAAACCATCTGGTCCTGGCTTTTGTTTTTTGGGAGATTTTTGATTAGTTTCCTGTTCTTGCTTATAGTTCATCGGTTCAAGTTTTCTATTCCTTCCTGATTCAGTCTCTGAGAGTTGTAGTTTTCTAAGAATTTGTCCATAACTTCTAGATTGTCCAGTTTGCTCACCTAAAGGTATTCATAGGCAAGTCTAATGATCCTCCGTATTCCTTAGATGTTAGTTGCTACCTTTCTTATTTAATTTCTGAATATACTTGTAAGAGTTTTCTTCTTTTTTCTTAGTGGGTCTAGATAGAGGTTTGTCTAGTTTTTTTTTTTTTTTTCAAGGAGCCAGCTATTGGTTTCATTGACTTTTTGTACTGTCTTTTAACTTATAATTTCATCGGTTTCTGCTCTAATTAAGAAAAAATTTCCTTTCTTTTAGTGGATTTTAGTTCCATTTGTTCTTATTTTTCTAGAGCCTTAAGGTGTCAAGTAAATTATTTATTTGAGTTCTTTTTTGTTACTTGATGTGGACCCTAATCGCTAAGAATTTCCCTCCCAGCACTGCCCTTCCTGTGTCCCAGGGGTTCTGATAAGTATTGTCTTAATCGTCATGTGTTTCCAGGTATTTTTAAATATCTCCTTTGATTTCCTTGTTAACACAATAATTATTCAATAACATGTTGTTTGTCACCCACATATTGAGTGTTTTTTTTTCTTGTTTTCTTTCTGTGGTTGATTACTAGCTTCTTGCCATTACTGAAGCTACTTGAAATGATTTCAATTTTCATGAATTTGTTGTCACTTATTATGTAGCCCAGCATGTGGTCTGTCCTTGAGAATTTTCCATGTATGCTTGAGAAAAATTTTCCATGTGTGCTTAACCTTTTTGGAATGGAGTACCTATAAATATCGATTAAGTCCATCTCATCTAGTTTTCATTTAGAGCTGTTGTTTGCTTGTTGATTTTCTGTCTGGTTGTTCTTTTCATTGATGTAAGAGGAATGTTGAATTACACTACTACTATTGTGTTGCTGTCAATGTCTCTTTTTAGGTCTGGTAGTCATTGCCTTCTATATTTTGCTACTCCTTTGTTGCAAATGTGCTGATGAGAGTTATGTCTTCCTGATGAATTGAACCCTTTATTGGCATATAACGTCTATTCCTATCTCTTGTGGTTTTTAAATTGGGAAGTCTGTTTCCTCTGATATAATTATGGCTATCCCTGCCTTTATTAGGAGCCTGTTTATAGGATTATTTTCCAACCTTTTACTTTTAGCTTATGTTTATCTTCAGAGCACACATGGATCACCTGGGTATAGCAGACATTTTGGATTTTGTTTTTGCTTTTCAAGTAAATATATACATATCAATTTATTCTTATCTTTCATAAATAATAACAGTGTCCTGGGATTTTTTTTTCCATTTAAAATATATCTTGGTGACAATTCCACGTTGGTGACAAAAATTTGATTTTTTAAAAATCATGTAGTATTCCTCTATATTTCAAATAATAAATTGTTTGAAAACAATTGATTTAATGAATTCTCATGGATGGTCATGTAATATTGGAAAGAGACAATGGATTACTACATTTGTTCATTGTGCACATATGTGATTTTATCTTAAAGTACATGTTCCTGGAAGTGCAACAACTGGGCCAGAGATGAATCTACTGCAGCTTATCCTGCCTAGAGGTTTTAGCAATTGTCATTCATTGTCCTTCATTGTCATCAAGGGAAGAGATTGTCAATTATCCTACAGTCTCACTCACCAACCTTGAATGCCATCAAACCTATGGCAGAGAGGGGTTCTGTTTTACCCAAAGACTACTGATTTAAATGTTAATGTCATAGAAAATACCTTCAAGGCAACATGGTATTTGATCAAATATTGGTGACATCCGATCCCAAATAGCATAGCAAAGTCGACACATAAAGTCAACAATCACAAGTCCAACTAGACACATATGTTCCTCCTTAACCACAGTTTTGCAGTACGTGATGTGGATCCCTACTCCTCATTCTGCTCCAGTAGGAGCTGTACAACGGCTTGCTCCTGGGAGTGGGCAAGTGGATGGGACACATCTGGAGGGATAGAGGGAAAATTTCTGTGCCAATGAAGGTTTGGAGTTGTGGGAAACTTAGTTTGGTCTAAATGAGAGTCCTTTGGGTTTCCCAGCAGCCCAGGGATGTTAGGGGGTTTTGTGTCCCCTCCATTTCTGTGGAATCCGGCAATCAGCCTGCCTACATCCTTTCTGTATGTGTGTAACTGGCAGTGCCCTGACACCACGGTGAGGGGTGGGTGCCGCTTGAGGACTGGCATGCCTGGTTTGCTCAAATTCTTGATTCTAAACTGGAAGCAGCCCTCACTCCTTGAACTTGAAGGTGCTGCTCTCTGGTGGGAAGAATGAGAAGTTTCCTTTCACCACGGCAACCTGGGGCCTGGAGACCAAAGCCCAGGTCTGAGGCTATCTCCGTGCAGGGCAGGCAAGCCCTTTTGTGATCTGGGGATTTCGAAGTGTCTACTATGGGGATCCCTCCTCTGCTGAGGACCAGCTACTGCCTGGTCCCCGGGATAAAGTGAAAGGAGCGCTGGGGCCTCCACCCATGCCCGTGTTCCATGGCAGCGTGGGCTGCCGTGACTGGGGTGGGCTCCGCGAACCACCAAAGGAAATGGAGAGAAAGGTGGGAGGGGAGGGAGAGAGAGCAAGAGCAAGGGAGAGAGAGAGACAGTGAGAGAGATCAAGCGAGCAAATAAAAACTAGCAAACAAAAAACACTCAGGGAGGGACAAGGACAGAGAGAGCCCACGAGAAGTGGCCGACACATGCCGGCTACCGGAAAGAACCAGCGCCTGACCGATTCCCTGAACCGAGGGATGAAAGGACACGGTGTGAACATGGACACGCTCTGACAACTCACGTCCAGGCTGCTGGCCGGGGGTTCTGACATTTGCTGGGCTGGGCTGGATGGCATGAAGTCAGAGGGCCTGGCTCCAGCAGGGCCCCGGGGAGGCCAAGGATGAGGACAGGGGAGGGGTGGGGAGGAGAGGGGACTAGGGTGCCCTGCGGGGCTCCTGCCCACCTTGCTGCCCTGAGAGCCGGGACTCCCACCCAGACCCTGGCAGGACAGTGTGGGGCAGGAATAGGCTGAGAGATGTAGGGAATGGCGTGAACTTGGAATGCAGCATGGAGGGAGTAGGAGGAAATAATAATCTGGGGGTGGGGCCCACCTCGCATCTGCCCGGGGCCACGGTGAGCTGGCCAGCCGTGGCAACACCATGGCCCACTGGTGTCTTCACCAAAGAGATGGAGCCCTGACCTGGTCCTGGAGGTGGGCTCGGGGTGCAGTGTCCTGCATTTTATTATGGGGTGACCCTGGATAATATCACTGGGGAGTTGGGAGTCAAGGTTTAGGGGAGGGCCTAACCCTCATGGGTGGTCCTGGGGTCAGAGCTTCCTGGGAGGTCAGAGAGGCTGAGTCGGATCAGGAGGTGCACTGGGACAGGCCATATGGGAATATTTCTAGGGGGGACACCGAGTAAGGGGGTGGCCTGAGAGCAGTGGAGGTCATCCTGGGGCTTGGGGTCTCAGCACATGGCATCCTTTGAGGGTAGGAGAGACCTGGATGGAGGGGAATCTGGAGCAAATAAATCATTCCAGAAGAGCAAGCTGGGGAGGAATGTGGAACTTGGGGGCTGGTATTTGGACACTGAGGAATCTTTTAGTGAGCCAGTGTAAGGGGAGCTTAAGGATCAAAACAGGGATTTTGGGGGTGCATGTTTGAGGGGATCTTGTGGGGCTATGATCAGATATCAGGGTTTAGAACTTTGGATAATCGCATGAAGGAAACCACCGAGGGGCTGGATTTGGAGTGCTCAGAACCGGGGATGTCTGGGAAAATGGATCTTGGTGGTGTGTTTTAGGGCATTAGAAATTGGGGCCAGCTATGAGGGTACAGCTATACATGTGAACACTTGTGGGAAGCTACTGGGAGGGGGGCGGAAGCACACCAGGTGCAGGATCCTTGGGGAGGAGCAGGGCATGGAGGTGGACCTTGAAGGATACATCATAGGGATGAATTGGGATGGGGTGGGTTAGAAATGGGGATCCTAAGGGGTTATATCAAAGGCAACAGATCATGAGGGTGTTTGGGGGTCAGAATCTGGGAATTTCAGGGGTGGTCTTGTGGGTTTCCCAACCTGAGAGTGTCTTGGGGGGTGAGGGTCATGGAGTTGGGTTTGCCAAGGTTAGGATGTGGTGGTGTGTGGGAGGTTGATTGTGGGGGCGGTAGGTTTAGAGTCAGGAGGAGCCCCAGTGGTCAGGAGGTGAATTAGGGGTGTCTTGGGAGAGAGCTCAGGGTGGGTGAGGGTGGGGTCAGAATCTAGGTGAATCTGGGTGCATCCAGGAGCGGACCTGTGGGCCCCCGGAGAAGGCAGGACAGAACTGATGGGGCAGCAGAGGTTTTATTGCCCATGCTCCCCCTTCCCCATCAGTAGCACTTGCGGTACACAATGTGGGGCCCCTGCTCCTCATACTGCTCCCGCAGGACCCAGCAGGGCTGGAAGGTGCGCAGAGACGCCAGGATGGAGCCCCCAATCCACACAGAAAAGTTCCTGTTGGGCTGCGCCACCACTGCCACCGGGGCCTGGTGCGGCCGGCTATGCAGCAGCTCTGTGCGGAAGCGGGCCTCGAACCCAGCAAACAGCGAGGAGCCTCCGCACAGCAGCACGTTCGGGGCCACCTCAGCCTGCGCCTCCAGGGGAACCTTGTGGAGGCTCTGACTGGCCATGGCGGGGACGCCCACAGGCGACAGTCCCGGCATCTTGGGGGGACTGAACAGCAGCTCCGGGCACTGGAACAGCTCCTTGCCCAGCGTCACTGTCCGGCCGTCGGGCAGCTTCAGGGTCCTGCGGCACTCCTGCTCCAGCCGGGCCTGCTGCTTCAGGAAGTGGGGGGCCACGTAGCAGTAGCGGTGCTTGATGTCCTCCACGGTGTCCAGGTCCTGCTGCCCCAGCGGCAAGCCTGTCCCGCGCAGCACCTCCGCCAGGAAGGCCGTCAGGTGGGTGCCCGCCAGGTCCAGGCGCTCGGTGGCGTGGGGCAGGTTGTAGCCCTGCAAGACGGGCACCGTGTAGGTGACCCCGTGGCCCGTGTCCACCACCAGCCCGCTGACCCGTCCGTGGGCGTAGACAGACAGCACTGACTGATGCACCACGTACATGGCCGGGGAGCGCAGCGACTCGAAGGCCACCTCCACCAGCTTCTCCCGGTTGGTGCTGGGGCTGAAGGGCGGGTCGGAGAACAGCAGGGGGTGGTCCCAGGTGGCCACGCGGAGATCGTGCTCAAGCATGTGGCGCCAGATGAGCTCGGCCGCGTCCCAGTCCACCACGATTCCGTGGCGCATGGGCTGCACCAGCGTCAGCTCCGGGCGCGAGCGGGCGGCCTCGCCGATGAAAGTCTCCAGCACCGGCTGCTTGGAGTTGGATGCCTTCTTGGGGTGACAGCCCACGATGGTGGTCACTGTGTAAATGGGCCGGGCCTGGCCCGCGAAGCCCACCTTACAGGCGCCTGTGCCCATGTCGATGACTACAGCCCCTGTCTTTGGTGGCAACCTGTCCCCCGCCAGGCTGGGGGAGTTCTGCGGCAGGGTTTTGTTCACCTGGATTGAGCTGGAGCTCAGGTCAGGCCGGGGGGCCTCTGAGTAGGATCTGGGCTCAGGGAGGTTGGGGCAATTTGCATCCATGGCTGTAAATGGCCAGGTGAGTTGCTTGTCAAGGCTGACCATTTTCCTGTGGGGTGCAGGGCTGTGGGGAGAAGTTGAGACCTGGCCAGGGGAAGCCATGGGCAGAGGGAGTAGGCCTGGGCAGTGGTCTATGACATCACCCTGCCCGGCTGGGCCCTTCATTTCATAATGCAGGGTGGTGTGGGGGTGGGGTCCCTCTTTGTCCCTGCCCCAGAAAGCTCCCAGGATACTAATTTATTCTGGATTCCCCCCAAGTGCTAAATGTTGAGAGGGAGGAGGATAGAGAGTTCTGGAGAGGGTCTTTCGACACAGTTCCTGGACCCAGAACCCAGTAAGGCCCAGGAACCCTGCCCTTAGGTGCCTTCACGTGGCATAGGAGAGCCGGTCACAGTGCTTCCAACTTTACAGCATTCATCGAGGATACTCTTCAGCTTAGCTAGCATGGTGTTCTGGTTGTTTTTTTTTTTTTAATAAGAACTGACCTGGCAGCTTTTTTTTTTTAAGATTTATTTATTTATTTATTTATTTATTTATACAAGCACTGGGTACAGTCAGAAGCGCGGGAGGGTGAGAGAATTCACCAGAGCCAGAGCGGGGAGCAGAGCAGGCAGAAGGACTGAAGTACACTGCTGAGGGGAGCAGCGGGCGCAGCAGGAGAGGTCTGCAAGCCATATGGGACCCTTCTCCGGTGTCCGGGGATCGAACCGGCACTGCAGAGGCTGCGAGCAGCTTCGCAACCCAGCGTTCAACCGCTGCGCCACTGGGGAGGCCCGTGTTCTGTTTTTTAAGAGGGAACAGAAGTCAGCTTGGGTGAGGGCCAAGGAGAGGCACAGACACTACCATGCTTGGGTCTCTGACTTTTCTGCTCTTCCCACTGCCTGGAAAAGCCTCCCTGCCCCATTCCTGCTGAGCAGGAATTTGCCTCTTCAAATATCAGAGGGCAACCACTGCCTCCTGGAAGCCTTCCCTAATTTCCCTTCCCATTCCGTGCTGCATACTGGCGGTAGAGGGTGTCTACCAGGAGCTTCCTTTTCTTTACCTTGGTGGAGGAGTTACAAAAAAGGGGATGCAGGGCCTCCCTGGTGGTGCAGGCAGTTGAGCGCCACACTATGAAGCTGTCCACAGTCTCTGCAGCACGGGTTCGATCCCGGCCGGCTGGCAAGAATCCCACATGGTGAAGCAGACCTCTCCTGTCTCGCCCACTGCTCCCCTCAGCAGTGTATTTCATCAGTCTGCCTGTTCTGTTCCCCACTCTGTCTCTGGTGAATCCTCTCACCCTCCTGTGCATCTGGCCTAAACCCCGGTTCTTGTATAAAAATAAATAAATCTTTAAAAACAAAACAAAAACAAAAAAGGGGCTTCAATATTGATAAAAAGGGAGAGGAGGACAATGTTTCAACTAAGGACAACACAATGGATCAGAAAAGTTGCTTCAAAACTTATTTTTGGTTGGTGATGTTAGATATCACCCGCTAAATAAAAAAAATTAACCTTTTTCTGTGTGTTTGTGTGGAGGCTAGAGATCACCAGGACTAGTTCTGAGTGTGTCATAGGAATATCACAGCTTAATGTGTGTGTGTGACTTTTGTAAGCCTCTATTATTTTATTTTATGATTTAGATTATTTCCATGCTGTGGCTGTTGTGAATAATGCTGCAATGAATTGGAGTGCAGGTATCTTTTGGAGATTGTGTTTTCATTTACTTTGGTTGATAGACCCAGAAATGAGATTGTTGGATCACGGTATAGTTGAAGTTTTCTTTTTCTCTTTCTCTTTCAGATTTATTTATGGGGCCTCCCCGGTGGCGCAGCAGTTGAGCGCTGGGTTGCGAAGCTGCCTGCAGCCTCTGCAGCACCGGTTCGATCCCTGGCTGCTCCCCGGCCACCCGAGGAGGGTCCCATATGGCTTGCAGACCTCTCCTGCTGCTCCCGCTGCTCCCCTCAGCAGTGTACTTCGGTCCTTCTGCCTGTTCTGCTCCCCACTCTGGCTCTGGTGAATTCTCTCACCCTCCCGCGCTTCTGACTGTACCCAGTGCTTCTACAAATAAATAAATAAATAAATCTTAAAAAAAAAGAAAAAAAAGGATTTATTTATGCATACAAGAACTAGGGTATAGGCCAGAGGTGCAGGGGGTGAGAAGATTCACCAGAGACAGAGCGGGGAGCAGAACAGGCAGACTTACCAAGAAAACTGCTGAGGGGAGCAGCGGGGAGACAGGAGAGGTCTGCTGTGCCATGTGGGTAGCTCCTTGGCTGGGGATGGAACTCAGGCCACAGTGGCTGTGGATAGCTTGATAGCACTGAGACTTTAACCCCTCGCCACCAGGGAGGCCGGGGAACGAAAATTCTAATATATTGCTGACATACAATCCCTTTGGAAACATTTTGGCAATTTCTTAAAAGTTAAATATACCTACTACAAGACCTAACCATTGCATTCTTGGGTATTTATCCAAAAGGAATGAAAAGACTTATAAATATTGACAGCAACTTTATTCATAATCATCAAAAAACTGGGAACAATCCAAAAACTCACAGGAAGCTGAGGTGTCATTGCTTGAGTAACAGCGCGACGGAAGAACTGTGCAGGAAGCATTCAGAAAGGACGGAAATGATCATTTCTTACATCTTATTTCATCATCATATCTGAATTGTGGTTCTGACCTCACGGATACATCAAAAACACCTGAATTGCACACTTATCACGTGTAGCTGATTTGCAGTACATGGCGCTCTACTAGGCCTCTTGTTTTCACGTAACTTGCTTTTATCTATTTGACAATTTCCTCGGACTCATTCTCTATCAGAAAATAGTTTTCTAATCCTGTCCTAAGGCTGCACAGCATCTCCCTGGGGGCGCATGGAGGCGAGAGCTAAGAAGGTCTCCCTCTTGGCACAGGTCAGCATGCCCAGCTCGCCTTGTACCAACTTCTTGACGATGAAGACCTCGGTGAGATAAGAACCCTGCCAACGACAGCCTTTCCTGTTTCCTGGAGGGAAGTTTCACAGACCTTCCTGGGCGACGGCAAGGACCGGAGATGCCCGAGGGAGCCGAGAGTAGAGAAACTTAGGGTGGAAAATGTCACGAGGAGAAACACCAGGGGCGGGGTACGGATGACTCAGGCATCTTAACCTGAATCCTACTGTGGATGTTTCCAGCAATCTAAGGTGGGGTCAGGGAGGGCTAGCAGTCACAGAGGGCCAACGGCCTGCTCAACGATTTCATCAGCGAGCACCCCCTGCTCCGGCCGAACGCAGCTCTTTTCTCCAAGGCCACCTGCCCGGGCCCGTGCCCGCGGCTTTCTCCTCGTCCTCTCCCGGATACACTCTCCGAGTCTGGTGAATTCTTTCTCAGAGGGGCCCAGGAACTCCACACACTGAACCCCGTCATCTGAACCCCTACAATGCCAACACCTGAAGGCTCCCGCCCAGAGACGCCTCTAGGACACGGCGTCTTTCGAGCACAGGTTTTGCTGGTCACGTCACGGGATATACTTGTCCTCCGCGCACCCACCTCCACGGTTTCTCTCATTTGGTCCAGACCCCCACTGAGAGAACCCGCCGAGGACAGCTACAGAGCGAACGGGGTGGGGGGTGCACCACCCAGGGAAAGGACTCCCCGCGGTCTCCAGATGCAGCTGGACCAGGCAAGGCTTTATCCGGGACACGTGCGCGAGGGAGCCGGTTGGGGAAAGGAGAGCGGGACCTGGCTCCCCCAAGGGGGTTAGGAGGAGACCTTGCAAGGGGATGTCCAGGAGGCGGGAGGAGGGGGCAGCCCCACAGCTTGCTCTGGGCTGCGTGGGGCACGCGCAGGTGGGTTACATTCAACGGCTCGGCTTTCTCCCTCCAGGAAACTGATCTTTGGTCAGAATCTAATGCTCTCAGGCCTCCCTAGTGGCACAGGGGATTAAGACACAACCTATGAAGCTGTCTGCAGCCACTGCAGCACGAGTTCGATCCCTGGCTAGGGAGCTACCCACATGGCGCAAGAGACCTCTCCTGTCTCCCCGCTGCTCCCCTCAGCAGTGGATTTCAGTGGGTCCACCTGTTCTGCTCCCCACTTTGTCTCTGGTGAATCCTCTCACCCCCTGCACCTCTTGTATGCATAAATAAATAAATCTTAAAAAAAAAAAAAACAACTCAATACTGAGCATTTGGGGGATAAACATTAAAAAAAAGAGAATCTAACGCTTTCAATCCATCATGGAGCTTCATGGTTGGGCTGGTGGCTGAATTGTTCACACAGGGCGCTCCAATCCACGGCTTGGCCGACCTGCTCAAGCAGGACTGGGGCAACTCATCCCACCAGCTGGCCAGTTCTTTTACCCAGGCTGTCTCTGGACCAGGGATGGAAGGCGCGTCCTCCCAGCGTCACAGGTGACTCGTGGGAAAGGAGCTGGCGCTCTCTTACACGCCGTGGCAACAATGCTGACTGTCTTCTTCTTTAAAAGAGGGAGCAGCTGGTGCGCCTGAGCAGACCTTTAGGCCACAGGCTCACAGGCCCTTCAGTCTGGTCTTGGCCCTGCACAGGGGACCTTCAGCTAAGTCAGCCTTCCCAGGCCAGGAGGAGGCTGCAGGGGTGGGGGTGGGGGGGTGTGAGCCGGGTCACTCCAGGGGTCCTGTTGAGGGGTCACATGCAAGGACTCCAGCCTCTGGCAATTTCCTTGCCCTTGCTGGGCCCTCTGCCCATCACTTCCATCGGAGCCTTCAGAGGCCTCCTGTCATGGGAGGAAGGAGCCATGAAGACACTTTCTCCACTCCTCAGTGTCCTGCCACATCAGGGTCACACGACACAGAAACCTTTTACTCAGATCCACCTGGCCCTTCCCCTGGCTCTGGGCAAAGAGGCTTCCGATGGCGCCCCCCTTGCAGACACTGTCAGAGCAGTTCCAGGCATCGCGGCTTGACCCGGTCAAGCTCACCTGAGCCCAACAGGGACGCCCCGGTGCCGTGGGCACCCCCACGATGAACACAGGCACCACACGCGTCAGCAAACACTGCACTTTACTAGAAATCCACACATACGGGACATTTTACAAAAACAACGTCCAAAGGTGGCACTCGGGGAGCTATGAGGACCGGGACTCTCCATGTTAGGGCTACCCCAGGTACCTCCAGACCCTGGCCCAGTGCAGGAAGTGGGGTGTGCAGGACCCACTCCAGGTGCCAGCCAGGAGGGACCTGGAACCTGCGCAGAGCCCAAACACCATCCCAAGCCGGGCACCGTGGGGTCGCTGACCAGGCAGCGGCCTCAGGAGGAGGACGACTGGTATCCATAGTGGTTGTGGTCAGCCTCGCTCGGGGTCAGCGACTGTGACAGGCGGGGCTTCTGCTCCGGGTGGTTCCCCTCCAGGCCGTGCTGGTCGGGCCGGGGTTTGAAGAAGTCAGAGATATACCGGACCTAGAGGTGGGCAGAGAGGAGGCTCACTGGGGGGCGGAGGGGTAGGGAAGGGGGAGGGAGGGAGGGAAAGGATGATGGGGTAGGGGATGGGAAAGCAGAACCGGGAGGATGAGGGTCCTGAGGAGGGGGGAGGAAGGAGCAGAGTCCCAGGACAAGGGGGGCATCCCCGAGTGGGGCGGCGGGGTGGGGCCAGGAGCTCACAGTGAGGACGGCCACCAGCGCCCCCTGCAGGAGGCCGACGAGGACATCGCTCCAGTGGTGCTTGTGGTCAGACACGCGCGTGTAGCCCACGTAGAGAGCAAAGGCCACCAGGAAGAACTGCACCGTGGGCCGCAGCAGCCGTGCCCACTTGCAGCAGAGGCGCGCCTGCACATACAGCTGGGGCCAGAGGGGGCCGTCAGCCCCGCAGCCGCCCGGCACCCGGTGCCCACCCCAAGGGCGGCAGCAGAGGCCAGGAACACATCGCAGAGGGAGACCCAGGGTGCCCACCCACCATCCCCTCCCGACCGCCCCTGACAGGTGAGAAACGGAGGCCCCTGAGGGCGGTAACTTGGCCGCTGTTTCCCAGACAGCAAGTCACGCGGGGCCAGACTCACCGCCAAGAACACCATGCAGTACATGCCGAAGGAGGAGTGTCCCGAGTAGAAGGACAGCCTGGGGCAGGGAGGGCAACAGGTTTCAGGGGCCACGCGTGTGCGAGGGAGCCAGGGCCCCGCACGCTCGTGTCTCAGCCCCGCGTTCCCAGCTGGGACCCCGCGGGAGGACTTGGCCGGGAAGCCGGGCGGGCGCCAGACAAGCCCAGCATTCCCTTCTCGCTTTTCTCAGGGAGCAACAGGAAATCCCAGGCCGGAGCTGCGGTCTTCGACTCCTCACCCACAAGACGCTGCAGGCCCTGCCCGTGCTCAGGGGCCAGGGCGGACCACGGCGCCTGGCAAGCAGCGGGCACCGCGGTTTTGTTCTCACTACGTTTCTTTTCAGCATTACTTCCCATCTGTGGCAACTGCAAGTTTCACATTTTCTTTTTACATAAATTCGAGTTTTAGCGCATCAACGAACAAGAGAGAAAACAGCTGAGCAGGTCCACCACGCTCCATAAGAGCGAGGGAAAAAACGGGCAAGAAGAGTCTAGACCCGACGGTCGGCGGCAAGGTGTACAGAGTCCTCATGGGCAAGAACTCTGATGGCCTCCCTAGAGTCCTGGGTGAAAGGACTCGTCTTTATTTCATTCTAAGAGGCGGCCCGCAAGTGGACCAGTTGCACTGCTGCTGCTTGAGACAAACACACTCAGCACCCGGCCTGGTGGACAGGTCGGGGCCCAGATACTCGCGAGAGAAAGGCCGGAGTGTCGAGGCCAGGACCATGTGCGCGCTCGCTGCTTGTGATGCAGACGGGCAGGGAGGGCGAAGGCACCAGCCCTGGCTCCGCAAGGGAAGCCTGCACGGCACAAGGAATGTGGCTACAAGCTCTCAGAGATCATGTTTTCCAGGTTTCAAGGCAGATCTCTGGTCACTGCCTTAGCACCCAGCTAACAGGACAGAATTTCACGGCCACACATGATGATGAATAGAGACTTTACAAAAACGAGTGATGAAAAGTGACTAAACCACCAACTCATGACAACTACAGCAAACATGAGCAACAGAAGTTGACTTCCAGAGTTGCAACATTATGACATTCCAAGGGGCCGGGTTTTCAACAAAAAAATCACAAGGAATGGGGAGAGGAAGCCAAAACAGAAGGGAGAAAACTACTAGACTTGCAAAACTTTTAATCCACCATTCAAAGAGCTAAGAGGCCGTGAGAACCATGCCTCACTAAATAGAGAATTTTAACAAGGATATTAACTTATTAAAAAGAACCAAATAGAAATTCTACACATCCAAGAAGCCCAATGAAGTCCAAATAGGATAAACTAAAAAGGTGCACAAGCAAACATCCCAAATTCAAAGTCAGAGGAAATCTTGAAAGCAGTGAGAAAAGGTACTCATTGTGTCCAAAAAGCCTCAATCTTATCAGAAACCATGGGAATCAGAAGGCCGTGGGATGGCATATTCAGAGCACTGAGAGAGAGAGAGATCAACCAAGAATTTGGAGGATGGCAAGCATCCTCTAAAAATAAAGGAGAAAATTAGTCCTTCTCAGACAAACAAAAACTAACGAGGATTCACTGCTAGGACAACTGCCTTATAGAAATGCTAAAGGGAGTCTTTCAAGGAAAAATGAAGTATGATACACAGTAATTCAAATTTCACAAAGACATAGAAACCAAGGATAAAGGTAATTATATAATAGAGACATCAGTATTCATGTACTTTAGGTTTGGAATTCCTGTTTTTTCCCTACATGCTTAAAACAACCACACATAAATCTGATATGAGCATACAATGGATAAAGACATAATTTATGACAATAACATCATTAAGGAGGGAGGTGATCATAAAGTTTTTGCATATAAACATCAATTAAACAGAAAAGGCAGTAATGAAAAAATTGAAAAACAGAAAAAGATGTGTCGAAAACAAAAGAGGTCGAACTAGCTGACAACAGACATCAAGACGAGAATTGTTAGGAGAAACAAAGGACACTACATGGTGATAAGACTCATCACGAAGATGTAACAAATAAAAAGATTTGCACCTAACAACAGCAACCAAAATCCATGAGGCAAAACTGACAGGAGCTACAACATAGGAGAACTCTGAAACATTAAAGCCAAGCTGGAAAGGCCAGAGTGCATAATTCCATTTGTATGAAATGTCCACACGGGCAAATCCAGAGACAGCCGGAGAGCAGAGCGGGGAGAATGACAGCTAATGGGCGAGGGGAAGACAGTGAGGATGGCGGGAAGACAGTGAGGATGGCCCTTTTTTTTTTAAGATTTATTTATTTATACAAGAACCGGGGTACAGGCCAGATGTGCGGGAGGGTAAGAGGATTCACCAGAGACAGAGTGGGGAGCAGAACAGGCAGACTGATGAAATACACTGCTGAGGGGAGCAGCGGGCGAGACAGGCAAGGTCCGCCGCCCCATGTGGGTACCTCCCTGGCCGGCCCGGATCGAACCCACGCTGCAGAGGCTGAGGACAGCTTCACAGTGCTGTGCTCAACTGCCTGCGCAACCAGGGAGGCCCCAGGATGCCATTTTGAATGTACTAAAAAGCAACGATAATACAGATTAAGATGGCTGGTATAGTAAATTTTATGCCAAGGGAATTTCATCTCATTATTTTAAAAAGGAGAAGAAAAATGTCAATTAAATAAAAGTTTAATATGCTTAATAGTGGAGACAGTGAGAAGACAGAGCAAGAAGCACGAGAGAGGCCTGCTGTTCAGGGGAGAGAGGTCACCCCCTCTGACAGTGGCTGCTGTGCTCCGAAGGTCAACCGGCCCCACTTCCCCTCAGGCCGAAGGACCCAGGCCCATGGTGTCTCTGGGTCTCACTCCCACCTCATCTTCTTTCCAACAAGGAGCCCCTTTGTGCTTCTCCACAGGACACCACGTTCCTCACACCCAACACCTGAGGGCCCTTCCCCAGCCCTGCCCGAAGCCCTGCCCCAGGCTTGAGGCCTCTGTCCTAAGACTGCTTCTCACACCTACCTGGCCTCAGTGACGTCAGCAGGCTTGCCCCTGCACACCGTATCTACCTGCACGTAGAACGAGCAGTTGATGCGGCTCCAGTCAGGGTCACACACGGCCAGGAAGCTGGGCCGCAGGCGGCCAATCATGTACTTGGCCAGGTCTGTCAGCGACTGGCTCACGGCAGCCCCGAATAAGAAGGTCCCCAGCACCTTGTAGATGGCGGCCACGTAGTTGTTGAACTTGGAGCGGGAGTAGAGGCGGTCAGTATACACCAGGTAGGCCTCCCCCGTGGAGACCTAAAAAGGGAAGAACCAAGAGACCAAAGGCCAAGCTGGAGCAGCAACTGAGGGGCCTCCCCCAGCCCCACTGGCTCCCCGGGTCTTGCTCTAGCCTTTGGAAGGGAGTTTCAGATTCCTGGCCTCGCTGAGGACACAGAGCTCTCGGGCAGGGCTGTGCCTCCACCCCCACCCCACCAGATCCCCTTTATTCCTTCTAGGGCAGAACTTGGCCCTCCAGGGGCCCCATCCCCACCCCCATCCTCCAAGGCGCCCCCCTCCCCCGCCTTACAAGGATGATGATGGCTGTGCTGGTGACCCCGGCCATGAGCCCATTGGTGATGGTGTCTGGACGGTAGGGGTACCGGATGGAGTCATCTCTACAGTAGAACCCTCGCTTGTACGGGGCATTCACGAGCGTCAGGATGATGAAGGGCAGAGCGGCTGGATGGGAAAGGAGTCCAGGAGTCACGTGTTCCCACCAGCCAAGCCCAGGGCCCCACAGACCAACTTTCATCAGGTGCTTGGACACCTGCCTCGGCCTCCCCCAGGTCCCCGACCTCCACCCCACACAACAACTCTTCCCATGGTAAGTCCCCTCTGAAAATCCCCTCACAGCCCCCATCACCTGCAGATGAACATCAAACTCCTCCCCAGACCCATCAGCCAGCCCCCCCACACCCCGGCACTTCCCTTTGAAGCCAACCAGCACACACCCATGACCTTTGCACATGTGCTTCTTGGCCCAAACCGCCTCTGATTTCATCTAGTCTCGGCTCCACCCGACCCACCTTGCAGTCACCCTCCTGGAAGGAAACTTCCACTCTCCGCATCTCCCGCCCCTGTGCGTGCGTCTGCAACCACATGCGGTACCCCCAACCCTTGCATCCGCGAGCGCCCAGGGCGCCTGCTGTGTTCTAGGCTCGCTCCTGGAGTGTGCTGGTCAAGGCGAGTATTTGATAACTATCCGTTACAAGAAGGGACGACGGTGCTAGTCACGCAAGGGCTGGCCTGAGAGTTCGGGGACACAGCGCAGCAGAGGAGGCGCTGCAATGCCAGCATGTCCCTGCGCCAGCCACGCGGCGACCAAGACAGGACTTAGCCCTGAGTCTGCGGCGCTCAGCCTAAAGAGCCATCCAGGAGCCAAGTCACGGCTGATTCAGGAAAGGCGTGGCTGAGGCCCTGGGCTCCCAAGGCCCTGCGGAGCCCCCTCCACAGGATCGGACCAGAGGCAACCCCAGGCAGCGTGCCCTTTGCCCCTGCGAGGCAGGAGACAGGTGCAAAGCTGGGGCACTCCGAGTACCCGAGGAGAGGAGGGCATGGTCCCTGCCCCCACCACAGGCCATATTCGAGGCCTGGGACTCGGGACACTGTGAAACACCTTCAATGATGAGTCTGGGGACAGACTCCATGAAGAAAACCGAGGTGGGCCTCCCAGAGCTGGTCAGAGGCTGCAGAGGAAGAATAACGAGGAAACAAGCGTAGAGGCAGGAACATGAGGCCTGGAGCAGCTCTCAGGAGGGGCCCGGGGAGGCCACTGAGAAGAGGGCCTGGAGTAGACGCAGAAGCTCTGGGGAGGGCTGGCAGGTGTGCCAGGCGGGGGTAAGAGTCAGTCCAAAGGCCCAGGGGTGGGTCTCCTCCTAAGAGCCCAACAAGAGGGCGAAGGTGCCATAGCAGGAGGCACCCGAGGGTTTGCAGCAGAGTGTGGGGCCCGTACTCACAGGCTCGGAGGCCACCCCAGAGTTGGCAAGGGTCGGGAGGGAGGGAGGCTAGAAGACAGAAAGCAGGTCTGCAGCCTGCGAAGGCCAACTGGGCCTCAGGTCAGTCTCTCAACTCTTGTCCCCCAGCTCCAAACCCTGCCACAGGAGACCCCCAGCTCCACCCCCAGTGGAACGGGTTTCTATTTTCTGGGATTTGGAAAGCAGAGCTCAAAGCACCCGACTGGGGGCCCTTCCCTCCCTCTGGGGCTCAGTTTCAAATGTCCCAGGCAGACACCTCCAGGGCCCCTGGCCTCAAATTCCTCCCAGGACCCTTCTCACCACCTAAAACTGAACTGTTCGTATATTCTAGAAGGGAGTGAGCGCGGTATGCCTAGACCAGGAGGGCCTGGCTGGCACACACAGCAGCACCACACCACCCGATCTCAGCTTTGCTACCCACTGCTGTGTGACTCCAGCAGGCAGCTGAACCCCTCCGGGCTGAAATTGGGGATCATGACAGCACACATTGCTTAGAATTAAAGGTTTAATTATTTGCAGTCCCTTCGTGCCCGACACACACTAAATGCCACACAAATACTTAAATTATATGCGTGCCCAGGAGGGCCGACGGCCGGCAGACATCCTCTGGGGACTTCTTGCCGTGACCTGGCCCACCCAAAGGGCCTGTCTGCGACATGAGCAAAGGGCCCGGCCTCTGCAGTCCACCAGGGCCGACCCCTGTCCCGCGGTCTCCTCGATCCCACAGGAGGAGCAGAAACCAGACGTGGGGAGGGGGTGTCGCAGGCCCGAGGGCCCGCCCCGCGCCCAGGGTGCAATCCCGCGGCCGCTGTCCGCGCAGCCCCAGAGCAAACACTCGGTCTTTGTTTCCGGACCCCAGGGAAGCGGCGGGAGGGGACTTCTGGGTGCCCCCTCCCCCAGTCTGACCAGCAAACTCGCCGGACAGGTTTGGTCCGCGTAGCCCGGAGGCCCCGGTTCACCGCGCCTCGGGCCCAGCCTTTCTCTCCGCGCCGCTCAGGTCCGAGGGGCAGGGCTGCCCCGGCGCTCCCCGCGCCCGCGGGGCTCCGGGCCCCCCACGCGGCGGTGCTCCGGGCCGGGGCTCGGCCCTCCCTCGCCCGCTGGAGACGCCGGTGCCGGAGTGGGGCGCGCAAGTCCACCTGGCGGTGCCCCACGCCGCGCCCCCACCCCCGACGCGCCCCAGTCCGGCCACCGCCCGGGTGAATCACCGCCGCGGCCCGGCGGGGCGGAGCCGGGAGGCGCGCAGCCCCCCGCCGCGGCTCCCCGCGCCCACCCGGGCCCGCGGCCCCCGCCCCGCCGCGCGCCCCGCGCCCGCCCCCGCCGGCCGCGGGGGAAACTGAGGCGGGAGGGAGCGCGCGGGCAGGGGCGCGGAGGCGGGTCTGCGGCGGGGAGCCCTTCCCGGGCCCTGGGGTGGAGGCGCAGGCTCCCCCCACCGCCCCGCCCACCCGGGGGGCCGGGGGCGCGGGCCGGGAGGCGCCCCCGCACGGCCGCGCGCCGCCCGCGAGGCTCTTACCGACCAGCACGCACAGCACGTCGAGCAGCACGAAGACCCACCTCCGCTCCATGCTCGGCGACCCCCGCGCCTCCCGTCGCGTCCGCCGGCGGCGGGTCACATGGCCGCCGCGCGGGGCCGGGCGGGGAGCGGGGACCGGCCGGGGAGCGGCGGGGCGGGGCGGGGCGGCGCGGGCGGCGCGCGGGGAGGGGTGGACTCTGCCCCCGCCCCGCCCGTGACGCCGGGGTGCGGGGTGGGGCGTCGCGCGCGGGGCGGCCGGGGTCCCGGGGCCCGAGCCGGGCGCGCAGGCGGCGGGTGCGCGAGCCGGGCAGGGGCGCCGGGCGGTCGCGGACGGCACCGGGGCGCCCGGAGCGCGCGGGCGCGCCCTGGGGCCGCAGACCGAGCCGGCGGGTCATGGGGGGGCGTGGGGGCCGCGAGCTTGGAGGCGGCGAGCGGGTGAGGGGCCGGGCGGGTGGGGGGGGCTGGCGCCCGAAGACGCCCCCGGCCCCGCGCGTGGAGGGCCGCGCCTCCGCTCCGCGCCGAGCTCGGGAAGTGCTTGCAAACTGATTGGGACGTCGTGGCTTAATTGCAGTTTTTTCTCCCTTTCCTTCTAATGCTTAAGCCCAGGCATTTAAAAGATCAAGTTCGCGGCTCCTGCCCTGGAGGCTGTTCCAGGCTCCTCCTGGTGAGCGCTCGGTCCGACGGCGCCAGGAGGCAGGAGCAGCCGAGGCCCTGAGTCGGGCCGGCGTCCTCTCCCCGAGGACACTGAGTTCCCCGCGACACTGAGCCAGGAGGTGTCCGAGGGCCAAGGCCACCTTTCCCAGGTGTGTAAAGTGAGGCCCCCTGGGCCCCATTCAGACACCCACCTTTGGGCTGAACCTTCGGAGAAGCCTTGAGAAGTGGCGCCTGAAAAGCCCCGCCTGGGCCTGGAAAGGCACTCAGGAGTCAGGCGGCACAGAGAGAAGTGGCAGGGCTGGGCCTGGAACCCAGTACACCTGGCCCCAGGGTCACAGCCCCTGACCTCCAAACCACAGTCACCGTCCCACCCACGGCCCCACCCCCAAAACCCGGAGACACAGGGTGCTTCTTGGCCCTCTTTAGAAATGGAGGGAGCCATGGCCAGAGCACAACCCCTGCCCCATGGCCCCAGATCAAGCAGCTAACTTGAGCCCTGGCTCCTCCACCCTGCTTCCCAGGAGGATGAAGAGGCCCTTGGGGGGGTGTGGGGGTCCCAGAAAGACCGAAACTGTTGAAGTGGGGGCAGTGCATAGCTGATCCGACTTCTTTGCTAGACAGTGGGGCTGGGGGTGTAATCTCTGAGCCAAGTTCCCTGAGCCCAACAACTTTTTAAAAAGGCAGCAGAGAGCCTCCCTGGTGGCACAGGGTTAAAGTCTCAGCGCTATCAATCTGAGTTCAATCCCGGGCCAGGGAGCGACCCACATGGCACAGCAGACCTGTCTCACTCGCCGCTCCCCTCAGCACTGTCTCTCAGTAAACCCGCCTGTTCTGCTCCCCACTCTGTCTCTGGTGAATCCTTTCACACCTGGACCTCTGGCCTGTACCCCGGTTCTTGTATGCATAAATAACTAAAAATAAATCTTTTTTAAAAAAAAGGCAGCAAAGATATCGGCTTTCTTTGCCAGACTCTCTCTCTCTCAAAATAACTCAGCCCATTCCCAAGACATGACAAGATCCTAGATGGAAACTTCTAGACCAGGTTTTCCCATTTGCAATGTGCCAGGTGCCGGAAGCACTTCCCGAGAAGCACAGCACTCAAGGAGTTTGGAGGGGCACATCCTGCTGGCAGCTTCCTCCGTACCGGACCCTCCCCACTTCCTCCAAGAGACTTAGACAATCAGATTCACTGGAGGGAAGGTTACTCTGGTGTCTGGCAGGCTCCTCGGTGCCCGTGTCACCACCGATCAGTGAGCTTCTGGGCATGGACGGCCGTTGGCCCAGCTCAGGCTGATGAGTTTGTGTCCAAGTGAAGAAAAGGGGCAGTGAGGTGGGCACATGGCAGGTTCCACCTCACTCGGCACTCCGGGCCTCTCTGCATGTGCCTCGGGCACAGAGGCCCCGCTGCACTGTTGGTAAGACCAGACGGCACCCGCCCCCAGTGGTGGGCAGCGCTTGACCAGGGCCAGTGCGATCATAAGGGACCCTTTCCACAGCTGATCTTGCAGGTAGCCATGGAAGTTGGGGCTCGACCCATGGGCTTCCCCGGGCTGCCCGCACATGGGGCAGGCGCGGGGGATAGGTAGTTCATTCGTTCACACGAGGCATACTGGACAAGGCACTTGTGCAGCACGCCCACAGCCCTGGCACAAGTACACCAATGGTGTCACTGCACTTTCCACTGTGACCTCTGTGATCCTGCCAGGCATGTTCACTAGGGTAGGGAAAGTGCAACATCATACTAGAGTCTAAATCTGTGGCTCACATGTCCCTACTACATGCTGGGCAGGGAGGCTGCTGGGAGGGACTCATCACAGGGGGTGGTGGGTGAGCATGGGTGGGAAGGCGCCCCACCAATCCCAATGGGCCACAGGAGCAGCAAGGCTGTGGGCAGACGTGAGCTAGAGTCCTCCCTGCCGACCTCAAAACCCTGTGCAAGGTCAGGACTAAACCAGTCAGCAGCACAGATTAGAATTAGGGTTAGGATTGGGGTCAGGCTCCTGCTAGCCTGGCGCTTTCACACCTGGAATCTACTCTGCATCGCTTTCAGGATGCACCTGAGCCAGGAGGCCCGCTCGGGGGTTGGGGCATGGCTGGCAGCCCAGCTGCGCGCTTCTCCAACCTGTAGATAACAGAGTTGAAGAGGAAAGTGAGCCCCTGCTGGGTACTGGGCTGCCCCCTGGACATGGGACTGGCTCCTCGGTGCCCGTGTCCCACCAAGCAGTGAGCTCCTGGGCACGGCAGGCCCTTGGCCCACCTCAGGCTGATGAGTTTGTGTCCAAGTGAAAGGGCAGTGAGGTGGGCATGTGGCAGGTTCCACCCGACTCGGCCCTTCCTGCCTTTCTGCACGTGCCTCGGGCCCAGAGGCCCTGCTGCGCTGTCAGCGAGACTGGACGGCACCCGCCCCCGATGGTGGGCAGCGCTTGACCAGGGCTCCTCCCGCCCGCCTCATCAGATCCACATGAGGCAGGCAAGGGCTTCAAATCAAGTTTAATAAATAAAACAGCAAGGAGTTCAAGGCAGTTGTCACTTCACAGTGTGGTCCTTGGTGGGGTGAGAGGGAAGGTTGAGTCCGGCTCTGCAGATGGGTTCCGGCCATTGACTCGGTGACACCCGGGGGCAGGGAGCACCGCCCTGCCCCGCTGGAGGACCCCACTCCAATTTGTAAACAGAAGCATAAATAAAAGGAGGGAGGCCAGGAGGATAAGGACCAGGACCCCAAACCATCTCAAGGGGAGTTTCAACAGAAAGACGACCTTTGGGTCAGGGGAGCAGCTGGAGCCCAGTCCCTCAGTGTTGCAGGCAACAGGGCCGTGGAACCAAGGGGGGTGTAAGTCACCTGTCTCCTGAACCCATGCCCAAGGCTGCTGAGGGGCCCTGGGGAGAAGGGGGGAAGCAGGTGGGGTGTAAAGTGCGGCTTTTCCTGAAGTGGAGAGAGCGGGCAGAGGTCAGGGCGGGGCTGGGCCGACATCGAGGTATATGGCTCTGTGCCCCACTGGGTTTGGCACCGAGTAGCAGCTTTCTACCGACCCCCGGGCTGGAGCAACCTGCAGCCCTGCCAGCCGTGGGGAGATGGAGCCAAGCAGAGTGCCAAGGGCGCCCCGGCGAGGCTGCTGGTAAGGGGTGGCATCCTGCCCTGTCTCCCGTTCCCCGGACGTGTGGCAGGGACGCCTTTCCTGCCTCTGCTGGCTGGACGGAGCTGGGACCTCTGCACCCAGGTGCCTGGCGGTCCCGGGTCCCATGTGGGGGCGGCAGCCTGGAGCTGGGCAGTGGTGCCGGGGGTTGAGGGTGCCAGTCTGTGAGGGGGGAGGGGGAGGGCCAGCAGCCTGGCCACCGTTCACCCCAGTCTTTGAAGTGTTCTGAAGCAGAGAAGGCATACCCAAGGCCCATGAGGAGGGGAAGGGTCGGAAAGACTGACAGAGGCAGGCCCTGTGGTGACCCCAAGTCCAGTCCAGGCCACACACGCCCACCTGCAGCCAGGGATCAACAGGTCATCACGTTACAGCTGTGGGAGTGGGAGAGACCAAGAAAGAGACCGAGAGCGGGTCAGTGCCATGCCGCAGGCCACACGGCCGGGTGCCGTGGCCGAAAACACGGCTCCCGCCCGCCCCCCCGCGAGGACTGTCCTTCACACTCGCTGCCTGACAGGCCCCAGGCAGCCAAGTCCGTCCCTGACCAGGAGGGCTGGTGGTGGGGACCAGGGCGGGAGGAGCCTAGCACTGGCCCGTCTGTACCTGTTTGGATTTTGAACCATATGAATGTATTACCTAGTCAAAAAAATAAATAAGCCAAATTAAAAGTAGAGAATAAAACTAAAGAAACAAACAGAATCTGCTCGGTGGGGCCATGCCATCCTTGGGCCCTCAGGCAAACCCCTCCCGATCCCCCAGCTCAGCGTGAGGTGGGGGGCACCAGCAGGGGCAGGGGCACACTCACTGTGACAGGGGCTCCGAGTGCAGCCCAGGAGCCGGGCACGCTGGGTGGGTGGCCAGGAAGGGATTCACGTCCCCAATGCCGATGAGTCCAAACTCTGTGACCGACAAGGCCACCTGCGCGGGGCCCTCGGCCTCCTCAGGTTCTCCATTCATGTCCACGTGGTTAGAGATGAGGGGCAGCTCCTCAGGGAGGGCCCCGGGCAGGGTGAAGTCCACGGCCATTCTCGGGCTCGTGCCGGGCTCCAGAGCAGAGGTGGCTGGGGGGTAGAAGGCCGGCTCGGCCAGGGCCGGGGGCCGCTGGGGCAGGGGCACAGGAGAGGGCGCGTCCAGCTGCTGGAACGGACAGAGCCCCGGCTCCAAAGAAGGAAGGCCGTGCGAGCCCTCCCGCGGCTCACCAAGACTGCCCGCCGTGCTGTCGACACTCAGTGGCTCTGTGGAGGGAGAATGCCACCTGAGGCAAAGGCCCACAGCCACGCCAGCCATCCTGGGACCGAGCCACCCTAGCTGCGCACACCCTCCACTTGGCCTTCAGGCTACAAGCCTCGCAGGACTCCTGCTGCTCAGGGGGCCCAGCACAGCTCAGGACGCCGCCGCACACAGATACGCAAAACAGACACGCGAGAAGTGGCTGTGCTGAAACTGCTCCGGAAGGCTGGGCCTCCCGCTTGGAGGTCGGAACGCAGCAGCTCAAGAGTGACGCTGAGCACCAACAGCACGAGTGCGGGGGTGCCACGGCCCTGGTGCACAGGTGCACAGGCCATCCGGGAACCGCACCCTCCGGGTCAACCGTGGGTAACCGTGGGTAACCTGAGCCAGAGAGCAAAGGCCCAGGGAGCAAAGGCCCCGACCTCAGTGCGGGTCACCTTCAGACACTGAAGCCCCAGCCCAGGCCGTCTTGCTCCCAAGCGGCCCTCTGGAGTGGCGCAGACACTATCTGATCTTCCTGCTTGGCAGCAGGGGCTGAACACCCCCTTCATGGGGGCCCAAAGAGGAGACCCCATTTCGGGGCGTGAGACCCACACACGGAAAGCCAACGAGCCTCAGTGATTTGGCAGCGTGACAACTAGTGGGGATGAAGGGGTAATCCCAGCGTCCACCAGTGAGGAGGGGTGCCCACAGTGGGGCCCACCCCAGTCTCACCTGTGCGCATCTGTGCGAGTGGTTCCTGGTCGGGGTCTAGCCCGTCGGCAGTGGGGGGCAGGGACAGAGAGGAACGAGGGCAGCCAGGGCCATCGGGGTCACTACCGTCCAAATCCTGGTCTGTGTCCCTGTGGGAGACGGTGCCATGAAGGAAAACAGGAGCATTAACTCCCACGATGCAAGTTTTTGCACCCCCAGTTCCCATTGGTAGCCGCACTCACATGGTCCCGGACAGGCCCCAAAACTCCCACTGGTACCCCCACTCCCGCCAGAGGCAGCACACGACACTCTGGAGGGGACCCAGGACCACCGCTCCCCCCACCCCGAGTTCCCGCGGGGAGCTCACGCACGTGGTTCCCGACAGGCCATACTTTCGTCGGCCCAACCGAGTCTGCTGGGAGAAGTAGTCATAGCGCTCTGACTTCTTCCACAGGTAGTAGTACTCCACACACTCCCCCACGGAGCGAGTGCGGACCTGAGAACAGCAGCACCATCTCGGCCTGGGCCCCACGCCCACTCGTCAGCCCCTCCCTCTGCCTCCCCAGGTGCCCCCACCACGCCCGACAAAGCAGCAGCACCTGCCCCTCCTGAGCGTGCATCACGGGGGGCAAAAGAACCGTGACCGTGGTTTGAAGAACAAGCTCCTGGTCCCCACAGAAGGCCCAGAAGGGGTCAGCGCTACGGATCAGCAGCGGGCACTGACCCCACAAGCCAGGTCCTAAGAAACGGCAGGGGGCCTATGCCAGCGGGAAGGCAGGCACGACTACTAAAATTCACCTTTAGGAAAATTCTTTCCCAAACTGGCACCTTCTTTCAGGGGCTGACAAGAGCCCAGCAAAGGAGGCAGAGGCACCCACAGTCAACAGTCAGGGGCACACAGCACCAAGGTAGAACCAGATGTCTGCCCCGCCTGTGCACCCTGCCAGGAGCCTGGAGCAGTGAGGCCCGACCTCTCGCGTGGGGTGGCCCGTGCCAGCTCTGAGCCCCTCCCGGCCCCAACGGCCCCAGCGCGGCAGTGGAGAAGCGCAGCCGGCCTCACCTTGTTGGCCTGGATCAGGTGGAAGTTCTTCCCGTGCACCCGGATGCCGTGCTCGAAGTTCCTGCACTCCTCCTCGCTCCAGGCACAGAAACCATCTGGGGGGAGAGGGGGTGTCAGTGGCACCCAGGAAGAGCTACGGAGTGGGGGGTCGTCCGGCTACTCACCTCGGATCACCTTCACGTTGAAGCGAAGCCTCCGCAGGGCCTCCTCCACATTGAAGTTGCATTTCACCAGCTCATACAGGGCCTAGGGGTGCAGAGACCACTGCCACTGCTGCCCCACTCCCGATGCCCCCGCACCCCACACAGCAGGGGCAGGCACCCCACTGCCAGGGCAGGGATGCTGGGGCAGGCATGTTCAGACCACCCCCAGGGAAGGAACCTCAGAGGGGTTCAAGCCACCGCGGCTGGGAGACATGAGGCAGGTTTACACCGCCAGGGTGTGACTCCACTCACTCTGGGACCATTCCCTGCACCCCCACTCGGGCCTGCTGATCCCTTGCCCCGAGGGCTGCCCCCACCCCTCTACCCCAGCGAGGCAGCCCCACCTGCTCGCTGTCTTTCACCATCTCCCCCTCCGGGAGCTGCCCAGCCGTCTCGTGCCACCTCCGCTTCACCGCCCGGTACAGGAACTCCTCCACCTCCCGCTCGGGGAGCATGTTGGGGTCCCAGAGCAGCTGGTCTTCGTTCTCATAGACTGCGTGGAAGGAGGGCTGGGGTCACAACGCAGCACAAGGACGCGCCCCGCCCGACACGCCCACAGCACCAGCAGGTGCCCCCCCTCCCCGCAGGCTGTCAGGGGGCCCTGCACGCGCGCCTGGGTGCCCCGCTGAGATCGTGCATGCGCGCCTCGGAAGATCCCCGATGACGGTTCAGGATGCAACAGTGTCCCAGGCGACGACGTCATCTTCAAGCTTCATTTTGGCTTTTTTTAAATTTTCTTTCTTGATTTCATGAACCCAAAGTAACTAAGTGATATGTTAGCGAAGGCCAGGCGGGACAGACTGGATGGAAAACTTCAGCATAGAGCTGAACCTGCGGGCAAGTCACATCCCACGCCCCGCGGGAAGGGCCTGCGAGTGAGCTGACCAGCCCGCCGACGGCGCGAACAGCCCCTGCACCTCACAGAAGACGTGGTTCATGAGAGCAAGGAGAAAATTCAAAGAAAAATCAAAAGGAAGCTTGGAGATACCACTATATCCTACTATATCCTAAACAGTGGAAGCTACGTATGCGCCACAGGGGAGGGGCGCAGAACGGGGCCGAAACAGCAACCACCACGGAGCGACGCCCTGCTGACTGCGCACACATCTGCCAGGGCTGCTATCGCAGATCTGCAAAGAGCTCAAAACTCAACAAAACGAAAATAAACAAGCCAGTCAAAAAATGGGCAGTTCCCCAAAGACACACAGGTGGTCATCGGGCACATGAAAAATGTCCACTCCCGTGATTAGGGAAAAGCAATCAAAGGCACAACGCGACACCAGCTCACACCCGTGAGAACGGCCCAGGTCAAAAAGGCCAGAAGCAACAAGCGCCGGCGAGGGCGTGGAGAAAGGAGCACCGTGTGTGGTGGGCGGGAAGGCAGCCGGGCCCAGCCCGATGGGCAGCTGTGTGGAGGGTCCTCGGGAGGCCACAGACGGATCTGCCATATGGCCCAGCAATTCCACTCCCAGGAATCTACCCACAAACACCAATTCAAAAGGAAACCTGCCCTCCTATGTTCACTGCAGCACCGTTCACACCAGCCAAGCTGTGGAAGCAAGCTGAGGGCCCAGAGACAGAAGAGCGAGCCGGGAATAAACACACGGTGGGCTACTACTCAGCTATGAGAAAGAGACAAACTCTTGCCTTTTGGGACACACACGTCTACTGTCAATAAAACCAATAATGCTTTAACATTAGACCAACTGTAGGAAAACAAAATAGGGAAAAGCTCCACATAAACAGAGCCCTAACAATATGCTACATAACAGCTACTGGATAGAAGAGAAAATCAAAGCAGAAATAAAAAAATACTCCGAGATGAAGGAAAATGACAACACAAGCTACCATATTCCACAGGATGCCGCAAAGCAGTCTGAGAGGGGAGATACTCCCAGTACAGGCCCCCATGAAGAAGCAAAAAATCCAAAGTAAACAAATTTTTACTACACCTAATGCAAACTGAAAAAGAGGAACAAGCAAAACTCAAAGTTCACAGGAGGAATAACAAAAGCACAATGAACAAGAGATTTGAAAAAGACCATATAAAAGATCAATGAAACTAACAGTTGATTCTTCAAGAAGATAAGCAAAACAGACAAAGCTCTAGGCTAACAAAGAAAAAGGAAGAGAAAACACTAATAAACAGAATCAGACCCGGAAGAGGAGAACTGGCCACAGAGAGCAGAGGCGGGAAGGATCCGGGCCTCACCACAAAGCGGCGCTGCGCCGCAGAATGAGATCACCCTGGACAAGCCCCCCGAGGGGCAGTTTACTAAAACTAAACCAGAAAGAAACAGAAGAGCTGAGAAACCTTCACAAGCATAGAAATTGAAGAGGCAATAAAAAACCTCCCCAATAACAAGTCCCGGACCAGACACCAAAACCTTCGCACTTTACCGCGCTGCCTACAGCGCCGTCTCCAGCACCCAGCAGGGGAGACGCCCGCGTGCCTGTCAGAGGAGCCCGCGGCAAGGTGCGCTGCGGCCACACGGGATACTCTCCGCCGCAGGAACGGGGAAATGCAGCCATGTCCCGCGCCAGGGAGGCCGCCGGGCTGCTGTGTGTGAGCGCACATGTTGCAGTAAAGCAGAAATCACAGGTTGGACTCCACGGAAATGAAAGACCACAAGTGGAATAAATACCTCTGCTGCGGCTAACTGAGGCCTCAAACCAAGACAGAACCTCCCAGAACTGGAAAAAGAACCCACTGTAGGTGGGAACGGCCATGAGCGGGCCCTTCGCCGAAGAAATAGTGCCAGTTCCTCATCAGAGAAATGCATGCTGAAGGCACCAGGAGACTCCGTCACAGAAGGGCTCGAATCGACAAGACAGACAGCCCCAGGGTGGGGATAGCCTTGAGCAGGCATCACAAACCAACAGTGGGTCCAGAACAGAGGGCTGGCCACGAAAGACACCCGCACTGCAAATCACAGTGACACCCCGGCAGCAGGAATGGCCAATGGGGGACAGCGAGCCGCAGCACAGATGCGGGAGGGCTCTCCCTCTGCGTCCCAAGCGTCTGCTCCCTGCAGGGCAGGCAAAGGACGGATGACAGATCCCAAGGCAGGATCCCAGACTGAGTTTGCACAGCCCTGGAGCCCTGTGAAGGTGGGGCCGAGGTTTCTGAGGAATGTCCTGGGTGTTGTCAGTCTCAGAGACCCAATTCCACCAGCTCCTATGACCCAGCTTAGCTGCACCTTCCCGTCAGCCATCTTTCACCAAAACAGTGTTTACGACGCAGCAAACATCCCCCAAGCCCAAGTCCCCCTGGCTCCGAGACGTGTTCATCTCTTTACTGAGGGTCCGTCTCCCTTGTCCCCTCCCACCCCAACCTGGCTGCCGAATCATCTAGGCAAGATTCCTGTGCCAGGCGGACCAGCCCCAACTCCTTGTCTGCAAGTGGAGGTGACAATCCCTATCTCAAAGGCGAGAGAGGCCTGGTTGACATTCTATGGCATCAATAGACATCAACTCAAGATGGTGTGTGCTGAGACAGGACCGGGGCAAGGTGTGACCTGCTGGCCAGTTCTTCCTGGTCAATGGGTGCTGATGAAGAGGGGGAAGCATAAGGGTGGGGGTGCCAAAGGAAGCAAAAGGGTGCAGGCTGTGCAGGGTGGCAAGACCACAGAGCACGAGCTGCGGGCAAGGACATAGAGGGGCCCAGAGGCAGCGAGGGCAAGTCTCTCCACATCCTCCCACCCCAGCCTTGGCCCTGAGCACCCTGCAAGCTCAGCACCCCTGCTCGGGGCAGTGCAGGACAGTCACCTGGCCCGAACTGGGCCCTCACTGTCCCTCCGAGGACCTGGAGCTGCCCTGGCTGCATATGTAGCCAGCTCTCCCCGCCCCATCACCAGGCCACTTACTCTTCTCACAATGGCGGTTCAAGTGCAGGTTACTGAGGTCAGCTTGGAACTGAGGCCCCACCATGATCTCCTGCAAAAGCAAAAGTCTGGAGTCAGGGCAGACCACTGGACACAGCTTACTTAGCATGTGCAAATTGCCCCGAGAAGCCAAGCCCTGCAGTCAAAGGGCAGGAGGCAGAGGATGGGACAGGATGGGGAGATGGGGGGAGCAGCACGACTGTCACCCCATCCATCTGTCCAGGGCAGCCAGCCACGTGGGATGGGGCAGGGGCCGAGGACCCAGGCTCCCCACACCCAGCCCAGCAGCTCCGAGAACAGGACTTCAAGGTGCCAACACTGCGGCCGAGTCCAGCCCAGATCACACCTGGCGCGCGGCAGGCTCGGCCCAGCCCCAAGAGGAGGCCAAGGTGAGGACCCAGCGGGGTGAAGACACCCACCTTCTTACATTTGTTGGCAGGCAAGGGGTCCTCCTCCGTGTCGGACGAGGCAGAGGAGCTGGGCTTTTTGGCTCCATCCACCAGGAAGCAGGCTTTGGGGAAAGGAGGGCAGGTGAGGCATACCCAGGGCACTGCGCGAGGAGATGAGAGGATTCATGCGCAGACACCGGGTGCTCCTGTGTCCGTTCTCAGCCTAAGTCTTTCTGGGGCTCCTGTCTCCCCAGTCCTAGCCTGGGAGCTGAGTTTTTACTGGGGGGATGTGTTGGCTCCCTGGGGCGGCCTCCTCACAGCGTCTTCCGCAGGAAGGGACCCCGGGGCCTCCACTGCCTGCAGCCTCCACCCCACTCCCCATCACCTGACCCCCGTGCTGTGCCCCTCCTGAGAAGCAGGGTGACCCAGGTCTTGCCCAGACGGTGGGTGAGACCAGGAAGACCCTCCGAGAGCTGCGGTCGCTAAGCGACAAGTCCTGGATTCCTCACACATCAGGGCACGGCCTGCCGCATGGGACAGTCCCAGCAGCCCGAAGTCTGCACCCACACACCAGAGCTGGCTCAGCCAGCACGAGAGGAAAGGGCAGGACACCTACATCCACTCTGGTTGGGGAAAAGGTCAGAGGCCTCGTGGGAGGTCACGGACGGGGTGAGGTCATCGGCTGAAGACTGTGTCTCTTCTTCTTCCCCCGAAAGCAAATCCTTCGCTATTTGTTCCTTGTAACAAAGAGAGTAAAGAACATTTTTGCAGTTTAACAATCTGTCTCACTAGTAATTCTAACGATGACTGCTCCAGTCTGGGGGAGCCTCCTTCCGGCAGCCCCAAAGGGTCCAGTGGGTTGTTCCTCCCTCTCTGCAGATGCAGAGACCAGGTGCAGGTACGGGCCAGTCGGGGACCCTGCAGAGACTGGGCCAGCCCCTGAAACCACACTCTGAGGTCTGGGAGGGGACACTGAGACTGCCTTCACAGCCCCATCACTGATCCTGCACTGTGCATTCAGTTCGGTGACAAGGCCCTCCCTCCTGACACTCACCCCGTGACCTGGTCAGCACCCGGAGGTCAGCACCCGGGGGCCAGGACCTGAGAACCTGGCCAGGGAGCATGCCCAATGGCTTGCCCCCACCCAGCTACATTTCCCCAGGCCAGCCTCTGCTCTGCCCCTCCTTTGGCCCATGGTCAGGGTATTTCTGTCCCAGGCCTCCATCCCCTGCCTCCGCCATGACCACTTACCTTGTCCAGGGTCATGTCCGGGAGGTGCACTGCAGCCTCGCTGCCCTCACTTTCCCGGTCCGAGATGGGGTCTGACGCCTCGTAGCCGTAGAGGGCAAGCAGCTCGTCGAGGGGCATGTCACTGTTCTGAGGGAACAGGGCTCTGTCAGGAAGGTCTGCTCTGGGGATTCCGCCCCCTGCCCTGCCTGGGCCCCATCAGCCACCACAATCAGGGCCAGGTCACCAGCCAGACCCTGGCCTAATCCCTCACAAGGACTCCCCCAACCCCAGGAGAGGACCAGACCAGCCAAGCATAGATTTAATTCCAGGGAAGCAAGCATGGTTCAACACCCGGACATCCACTGACACAACTCATGGGTCAACACATCAGATACGTGCTTCATGACAACGGTGAGAAAGGAATCCAGTGAACGCCAACATCCATTTCTGATTTTAAAACGTCCTCAGCACACTAAGTAATGAGACGGAGGCCCCACCATGCAATGGAGTCACTGCCCGCCAGTGGGGCGACAGCAAGTAGCCACAAGCACAACAGGACAGGGAGTTCCAGGGCACCATGAGCCTGGGCTGATGCAACATGACAAGAAACAGACACAAGACACTTACTTACTGGGAGAAAGGCAAAAATTCTCTCTCCCCTCCTCGCCACCACTGCCCTCAACGCAGCAACTCAGCCCACCGCACACCACGCTCCTGAGGCCAGTGCCGTTCGCTCTCACTCCACTGACCCTGCGCGCTGCTGTCGGCTTCTAGTTCCTGGACACTCACCCCCTCATCCACTCAATGTGTGGGCAATTGACTCCCTCCACCTTCCACCTTAGCGGGCCCTCACTGTGGGGACCTCAAGTCAAGTGGGAAACCACCCAGCCTATTCCCCTGTCCCCCTTCTGAGGAGGGCCCCCCCCCCCCAGGCCAAGTTCCTCTTTATTCTCACAGGACCCAATGGGGGAAATCAGCAGCTTCTACTTATAGGTTTGTTGGGGGGTGAATACAGTGAAGAAGGACCCCAGTTCTCCAGACCCCTTCATTACTGAGCAACGATGGCCCGTCTGCACCAGGAACAGAACCAGCAGCGGCTGAGGCAGGGGACACGGCATGAGGGTCAATACCTGCTTCTCACCAGAAACACCCACCAGGCCGTGGCCTTGGACTTCTGGCCTCCGAACTGTGAGAAACTAAACCTCTACCGTTTAAGCCCCCACTTCATGGTTTTCACAATTGTGTGCTGCTGACATGTTATGCTGTGAACTCTATCGACACTTGGAGATCAACATGTCAGGGAACCAATGTTTTGAAAACAACAAGAGCACATAGGGATGAAGACCCACTCCCAGCTCACGGCCAACGGGCTGTCACATAACCAAGCACAGAGAGTTCTCTGGACACGGTGCAGGATCCTCTCTGCAAGCACCCTTCCCAAACCAGCAGGGAATGGTGGTGCCGCGTTCCAGAATGCCCACCACTATCTGAGAGGGTTGTCACCACGCCTCCCTGTTCCAAGCACTGCACGAGGCCAGATCTCCACTTCAACCAAAAGACCGCATCGTAACTGATCAACGTCGGCCTCAAAAGACAGCAGCTGGAATCTCGTAACGGCTACTTTATTTAGAGATTTAGAAAAATGCCACCCTCTTCTCCCTATTTTTTTTTGTTTGGGGAAAGTTATTTTTTAGTTTTCAGAGAAACGTCGTTTCTTTCAACCATGAGACTGCTGCGTGGACAAAGCTCTTGAGAGCCTCGACTTTTAAGAGCATGAAAGCGGGTTCTGAGGCCCAAAGGTCTAAAAACAGCGGGCTCGCCATCCAGAGCCCTGATGTCCCACGAAGGCTGGACCAGGCTGGCCGTCCCCACAGCCTTAGCTCGTGTCACACCAGCGCTGTCACCGGCGTCTGCGCGGCTCAGGCACTGAGGCAGCCACGCGGAGGCCGACACCAGTCCGGCCAGCCCGGCAAGCCCACCTGCGGCACCCGGTACCTGGGTGATGAAATGCTTCTCCAGCTCCTCCTCGGGCTTCTCCAGGCCACTGGCAGCCTCCTCACACTCCTCCCGGATGCCGTAGTTCTGCGACAGGATCTCTGCGAGGTTGAACTGGTGGCCTGCAGACCCCATGGACACCACTGTGGAGGGGGCCAGTCTGAGCACACCAACACCCCGGCCCCAATCCTTGTGTCTGAGGCTGAGGAGGCTGGGGCAGAGAGGAGCAACAGGGTGGTCAAAGGGCCAACCCCCAGCTCATGCCCTGTGTGCGTGCAAAAGGGAGGCTGCGTGTGCACGTGTGTGTGCAGCTGTGAGAGGCTGTGTGCATACCGTGTGCGGTCAACCCACCATGGGACTCCCCACGGAATGCATTCTGGTGGGAGGGCACACCTGGCACATGCCGGTACTTGGAGCTGTGCTCTCCTGGGGAGGCTCCGTGGCCCCCTGACCACAGGCACTGGTGATGTTCCAGGGGAGCAGGTGGACAAGGAAGAGGTAGCGCTGGTTAACAGGCGCAAAGAACAGAAGGGCGATGCCTGGCCTCCGGCACCTGGGCGGCGAGTGTGAGGCCCTGGGCTCCAGAAGAGCCGAGGTGATGCTTATACCCACCTCCACAGTCGCTAGGGGGAGGGAGCACTGCAGGGCAGCATGTAGGGCAGCAAGTGCCCATCCCATCTCCCTCAGCAGGGCCAGGCACAGGCCCCCACGGGTGGTGCACGTTAGCAGATTTGGGGTTTTCCCTAAAGAACTAGGGTGTGTTCATCGCTACCTCTCCATGATGAGATCCAAAAAGTTGAGTTTTAAAAGAAACAAACAAAAAAGGAATAGAGCTCAATCAGCCACACCAAGGCGCAGAGGAAGCCAACGCTGACCTAGGTATGGCAGAAGGAGGTATGGCCCAGGGCTCCAGGGTGCCCATGCCACACTCACCCCTACTTCATCCATTCTCCTTCGGGAAGCCACCCAGCCACGAAGTGAGAGCCAGGAGGGCCAGGTAGGACCACTGGGAGGAGGCACCCTGGTCCTCGGCAGGGCTGCCCTGTATCCCACCAAAGAACAGGGAGACAGTGCAGCGCCACCCCTAGACTAGCAGGAACAGCCAGTCTCACAACGGCAAAGGCCCCACAGCCTGGGCAGAAGGGAAGGAGGTACCTGCTGTCGTCTGCAAGCCGGGCTCTCCAGGGCACAGGCTACGAGTGAGGCAGGAGGCCACCCCAGGGCTCTGCCTCTCCAGCGAGGAGGCCTGCAAAAGAAGAGAGGGGGGTTAACTTGGGGGGCCCAGAACCCACCACAGCACAGACATCACAGTACCGTATCGGACCAGAAAGCATGGGTCACAGCCAGCTCCCAAGGGACTGTGCTCCCTGGTGATTGTGAGGTACTGTGTGTTGGAGAGGGAGAACCCCAGAACAGAGCCAGGCACATGGCCACTGGGAATGAGCACCTGCTTAGCATCCCCGAGGGTTTGAGGTTCACACGTGGAGGGTGCAGACTCTGGCTTACACAGCAGCTCTAGAGCTTCGGTGTCCTCATCTCCAAATGGGGAAACAGCACCCAGAGTGGCTGAGGCCGGCACAGCCTGCACACAGCCCCGCCACGCACACCCAGAACGCATCCGCTACCACTGAGTCCAAAACTCAGCAGGGGCCCGGCCTCCAGGCACTCAGTCTTCAAGGTAATCAGCTGCTTTGGAGAAATGTGGGGATTCCTCCAAAAGCAGATACAGAGTTACCAAGTAACCAACGATTCTACTCCAGGTATGTGCCCAAGAGAAATGAAGACATATGTCCCTCCTGACGTCTATATACGTGTGTCCACTGCAGCATAACTCAGACGCCCAAAGGTGGACAGATGAGAAAGATCTTTTTAAAAATATATATATATATATTTATTTATTTATACAAGAATTGGAGTATAGGCCAGAGGTGCCAGAGGGCGAGACAGAGACGGAGCGGGGAACAGAACAGGCAGAACGACTGAAAACACTGCTGAAGGGGAGACAGGAGAGGTCTGCCGCGCCATGTGGGAATCTCCCTGGCCAGCTGGGAATCGAACCCATGCTGCAGAGGCTGCGGACAGCTTCACAGCTCGGCATTCAACCTGCTGCACCACCAGGGAGGCCCCTATATAAGAAAGATCTTAAACCATCACCAAGAAGGATTTATCACAGAGATGCAAAATTGGCTTGACATCTGAAAGTCAATCAACGTAATACAGAACAAACCCACACAGTCACCTCAATAGAGGAGATGTAGTTAACAAAATCCAACGCCATTTCAGGAAAAACCACTCAACTAGGGACAGACAAGAACGCTGACCACGCTGCTCTGAGTCCAGCACCAGCACCAAGTGCAGCGAGGAGACCTGCTTCCCATTTCTACTCAGCAAATGCCAGCTAGAGGGGAGCATGAATGACATGATCTTGGGCATAGAAGATACTGGAGAATCCACTAAAAATCTATTTGTAGTAATAAATGAATTCAGCAAGAATACAGGCTATCAGAACAATATATGAAAAATCAATTTTATTCCTACATGTTAGCAATGAAGGATCCAAAAAGGAAATGGAGAAAACAATTCCATTTATAATCGCATCAAAACAAAATACTAAGGAATAAACTTAATGAGTTCAAATCTCATACTATGAAAAGTACAAGCCATGTTGAAAGAATCTACAAAAAATCTAAATAAACAGAAAGACATTCTATACTCACAGCTCAAAAGCCCGAATAGTCAGGTGTCAATACCTCGCTACCCCCACTGATGTGCCGAATCAACACAACCCATTATCAGGATCTCAGCTGGCTCCTTTGTAGAAACTGACAGATTCCAAAAATCATGAAACCTCAAGAAATCCAGAAGCGCCAAAACACTTTTGAAGGGCCTCCCTGGTGGCGCAAGAGGTTAAATCTCAGCACTATGTAGTTGTCAGCAGCCACTGCAGCTTGAGTTCGATCCCCAGCCAGAGAGTTACCCACATGGCGCAGCAGACCTCTCCTGTCTCCCCGCTGCTCCCCTCAACAGTGTGTTTCAGTGACTCCACCTGTACTGCTCCCCACTCTGTCTCTGGTGAATCCTATCACCCCCCGCACCTCTGGCCTATACCACAGTTCTGGTGTGCATAAATAAATTAAACAAATCTTTGGGGGGAGAAAACCACTCTTGAATAGAGCACCTCATGATTTCATAATTGCATAAACCTACCAAAACAATGTGGCACTGTCGTAAGGCTACATACACATTTAGACCAAAGGAGCAGAATCTGAGGACACAGACCAGACCCACACCTTCCCGGCCTGTTTCAACAACTCCAAGTGTAATGAACAGTCTTTCCAACAAACAGCACTGGGACCACCAGCTGCCACACGCAGAAGGATGCAGTTCAACATTTCTCACACCATATACAAAAATTAATTTTAAATGGATCAAAGACCTTAAATATAAGAGCTAAAACTCTTAGGGAAAAAAAAAAAAAACAGGAGGTAAATCTTTGTTACCTTGGCTCAGGCAACGGTTTCTTAGGCAAGACACCGAAAGTATAAGCAACAAAAGAAAAAAAAGAGACAAACAGAACTTCGTCAAGATAAAAAAATCCTTTGTGCTTCAGAGAACACCGCCAGGAAGAGAAAAGACAACCCCGGAACGGAGGGATGATCTGCAGGTCACACAGCTGTACAGGAACCTGTGCTGAGCATGAAGAACTCAATAATAGAAACACAAACTGCCCAATTTCAAGATTTCCTCCTGAGAACAGACATTCCTCCACAGAGACACACACACAAACTGCTCCGCGTCGGGGGAAAGAGCCGCCTGCCAGCCAGCAGCCCTGGCAGCGAGACAGGTGGTGACGCGCGTCTGTGGGAACACGGCCCTTGGGGGGGAACAGTCCAGCCGCTCCTTCCAAAGTTACAGGGTTAACACTGCACCCAGCACCCCCAATCCCAGGTTCACAGTGGAGGCGAAGAGAGCAAGACACCCCAGCACGTGCCACCCTGGTGCAGGGAGTGAGATGCTCTCGTGCCCCCACCGCCGGTGAGCAGGACCTACGCCTGGCTGGCGGCGTGCTGCTCCCCGGCTCACCCCAGCCAGGACGGAGAAGCCACCGTCTCACTGAGGCTACAGAGTCTAGAGCACCAGGGACTGAACGGGGCTTTCTTCCCAGGCCCCCAGGCACTGACCCCTCCACGTGGCCCTGTCACTTCCCTAGAATGAGTGTCCATTCAGGATGCCAGGAAAGCCTGTGTCCTAGCCAGCCTCACTCTGCTACTAGCTGTCCTTTGTCTAAGCACAGGGCCCAGGCTGGAGGAGTCAAGAGGAGAGAAAAAAAGTGACTTTCCTCCCCTACAACTGCCAAGAGAAAAACACCCACAGCAAAAGTCCCATGCTCACAACAGGATGATTCACAGCAGCCAAAGGTGGGAAAACCCTCATGTCCACCAGCTGATGAAAAGAAAATCAAATGAAACAATGGAACATCACTCAGCGGTGAAAAAGGAGCGCCGCTCTACCATGAACACATGGAAGGATCTGGAAGACATGACGCTCAGGGAGAGAAGCCAGACACAGGAGGCCACACAAAATGAGTCCACCGATGAGAAGTGTCCAAGGCAGGCCCGGCCGCAGACAGGAAGTGGGTCGTGGTGGCAGAGGAGGGGGTGTGGGGGGAGTCGTGACCAAGGGGTGCCAGGCTTCTCTCAGGGAGCTGGAGATGTTCTGAAGTTAGCTGACGGCGCTGCCCAGCCTGTGAATACTGAACCGCACATTCACTATCCCCGGGGGCAGGGCACTGCTCAATGAAAGAAGAAAGCCCCGTTCAGTCCCTGGTGCTCTAGACTCTGTGAGCCTCAGTGAGTCGGTGGCTTCTCCGCCCTGGCTGGGGTGAGCCGGGGAGCAGCACGCCGCCAGCAGGCGTAGGTCCTGCTCACCAGTGGTGGGGGCAAGAGAGCGCGTCTCAGTTGCCTTCAGCTCACTCCCTACGCCAGGGTGACACGTGCTGGGGTGTCCATCCTCTTGACTTCTCCAGCCTGGGCCTTGTGACTTAGGCAGAAGACAGTACGCTTTAAGTCAGCGAACTTTATGGGACATGAATTTTACCTCAGTAAAGCTTTTGCAAAGTAAAAATCGAAAAGACTGGCATGCTTAATGAAATAGTTCAAAAATTCAGAGAAAAAGTCTCCCAAGAAGTTCCCCGCTGATGTACTCACTGGTCAAGAGACGTCATCATGGTCTTCACACGCGAAACAGGGGATCGGACGTGACAGAGGCCAAGCCACTTCCCCGCTCACACGGCACATGAAACTCGGGCTCCGAACCTCAAAGCCCCTGACGGCCCTCACACCACCCACGAGCACAAGTGAACGCACAGGAGCGCGCAGAAAAGCAAGAGCCAGAGGCAAAGGCAGCCTCGGGCGCTGGACAAGGCGGGCGGCGGCAGGCAAGGCCGAGCGCAAGAGGAGGAGCACGAGCCTGGGGGGCCCAGTCCCTGGCAGGAACGTAGCTCGAGCAGCCTCTGCCGGCGCGCCCGTGTTCTAAGTGGGGAGAGCCACCAAGCAGCTTTAGGAAGCTGAGCCCCACGTGGCAAAAGGCAACCTGCAGATGGGGACAAGGAGCCAGCGCCTGGGCCGGGACTGGCAAGAAGCACCAAGAGCAGGGAGGAGGGCACGGCAGCACAGCCACATCCCACAGGTCCTCAGAAACCAGCCCGTGCTCCCCAGCCCCTCCCAGCATCTCCCAATTCCCCTCCCGCCTCAGGCGGGGCTGGCTCCCCATCTCTTGCCAACCGTGGACCAACCACTGACTGGGAGGCCACCAGTGAGGCCAGAGTTGGAGGCTCCTTCTCCAGAGCAAAGGCGAGCACTCTGCTCAGTGCGGGGCCCATGGCATCGCAGGCACAGGCATGGCAGCCTGAGGCCCTGCCCGGGCTGAGGAGGACTTGGTCCTTATCTCACTTGCCATTCAACATGGAGCTCAGAAAGAAACCACCGGGAATGGTAGAAAGAGCAACAGCAAGAGGAAGGCAGCATCTCCCAGGGGGTGCCAGCAGCCTGCTCCCCATGGGGCCTCAGATTCCCAAGTTCATTTCCCGGTGACTCAAAACTTACCAAGAAATGCAGCCCGCGTGGACATTCTTCCCTGTCCCTGCCCCAATACCACTACCAGGCCAAGTCCAGTCCACACAGTGGCATCCCCAGGGTCTGCGGCCCTTGTTCAGAGCACTCTGATGTCTCCATCAGAGGCAAAGCCCTCGTCTGGCCTATGTGGAAGAAGAAGGATGGGGAGCTGGTTACGAGTGTCCTGGGCAGACGGGAAAGCAGGAAGAGCAGGAACACAGCTCAAGAGACTTGGTCCCAAAGGCACAGGCTGGGCAGAGCGGAGGGGCAGCAAGCTCACAGCACAATGATGGGAAGGCGAGGCAGAACAGCCTTCGCCCCAGGAAGCACCTCTTCCCCCGCACCACCCTCAGGCTTACTCCCAAATGCCACTGAGCAGATCCCATACCCCAGGACGCTGTGCTCGTGCAGCCCACCCGCCCCAGTCTTGCTCAGCGCGCCGCTGAGACACCTGCCTGCCCAGGAATCTGGCTGGCCCTGTGGCTGGTGGGAGGGGCTCCACGAGACCTCCAGGGGTAGTTGCACACAGTAGCTTCCCCAGGCATCTTGGAACAACCCTGCCCAGAACCCAGCTGCCATGCTGTGAGGAAGCACAAGCTACGCAGAAGCATGTGACGGTGCCCGGCCATAGCCGGCATCGACGGCCACGAGGAGAGGAGCATGATGTGTCCAGCTGTGGAGCTCTCTAGGCTGCACCCCGCTGCAGCCAACAATCCACCCCACGGAGAGTGAAAATTGCCTAGCAGAGCCCTTCAACCCTCAGAACCAGGAAAGAGAACAATAAAATGACTGTTGTAGTTTTGGAAAGTTGAGTTTTATGGTGACAAGATTTGCAGCAACAGTTGACCTGAAAACCCTTCAGGCACACCCAGCTTCATGGTGCCCCCTGAACCACCAGGTACTTCACCCCGCCCACTGAGTAACGATTAGCACCAACTCAGGCTGGTGCCGCTGAGGTGGCCCCGCAGGTATTCCGAAATCAACCAGAAACAAGTTCCACCTGTCTCCACCCACAAGTTAACCAGTCTAGCTGGGGTCACGTTTAACCACAAGTGCTCACGTACAGTCCTGGAAGGAGAAAATGGGGTGGGGGCCTGACCAGCAGTGAAACAGCCCAGCCCCACCAAGGGTGAAGAGTGCACAAGGAAACAGGAGGCCCAGGGTCTGGGGTGGGGGGTGCAAGATCAGCAGGGCCCACACAACCCAGCCAGGGGTGGGGAGGAGATGCACTTTACACCAAAGTGAACAAGACGCCCTGGAAGGTGTTAAGCACAGTGGTAGGTTTCTCAAAGACGAATCTTGTACCATCAGACACGGAGCCTCCTGTCTTCCCTCGTGGTGCTGACGGCTACTGTGGCCACAACAAAAGTCAGGCCGCTAACACGGATCAAGCACTGACTAAGTAACAATCACCATTTTTCACCGGTCAGAGACAGCGATTTTGCAAAGTTCAGCTTCTCCACCCTGAGATCTCGTGAGATCTCTGGCTCGAGGTCCTTTCCATTTCAGAGATGAGGAAACCTAGCCTCTGAGTTACTCTGGGGCCTGGCAGGCCACACAGAATAGGAGGCACCAGAGCAGCCATGGTCTTTTGGGAGAGGCTGGCCAAGGCCCAGGCCAGGCTCGGCACACAAACGGTCCCTCACTGACCAGATTTCTAAGACCCTTTGGGACAAAACCATTGGGTTTCTGCTCACCGCCAGGACCTCAGGGCCTGGCCCAGAGCCAGGAACACAGAGGATCTCCTCCTGGGGAGTTTGCCCTGACCCTCTGCCTGGCCAGGAGTGCTGCCTAAATGACACCCAGCACCCAGGAAGACTGTCTCCCATGCCGGAGCACACACTCAACCACCAGGCCCCTGCTGGATCACAGGGAAACCTGACTGCCTCTGACCCTCGAGGTCAGTCAGTCCCTGTGTGAGTCCTGTTTCCCTAAATGTCTCTAAGGAAGGAGAACTAACTCACAAGCCCGGGACCCAGCACCCAGGACAAGGCAGAAAATGGCTGGTGAGGTCTTGCTATCTCAACTCGCTTTGCAAACAGATGCCTCTCAGTCACAAGTGCAGGGTCTCCTGCTGCTCCTGAAGATGCCACTGGTGGGAAAGGATGGCAACACAGACCCACGCTAAGTCCTGAACACTCAGCGCGGCCCCACAACCAGGGCACTCTCCAGCCAGCCCACTGTACCTCTTGGATGGCTTCCCACTCCTCTCTGCACCTCGACGGCCCTGCCCTTTAGATGAGGCTCACTGCTGAGTCTGTAGACCTGCAGCGTGTCCCCAGAGCCCAATACTGTCCCCATCCCCAACCCACCACACCCCCCGCAGCCTTCTACCACCCCGGTGTACGGCAACATTAAGGATTTGGCGTCTGTCTTTATCCCAGACAGTCCTCGGTGAGTGCAACCACGCATCACAGTTGGAAACCCCACAGGTCCTCAAGTCGGAAGAAACTGCAACTGTCCCCAAGTATTTGGATCAAGGAGTCTCGGGCCTGTCTGGACTGAGCGAAGAGGCTCCGAGAGTAACCTCAAGCCGCCCATGAAGGCTGGTCCAACTCCGCTGAGTTTGCGCGGGGATAGCTCGGAACCGGAGTTGAGTTCTGCCAGGGGTCCAGCGGGCGTGGGACCCCACAGGCCGGGGGCTCGCGCGCCGCGGGGCGGGGCCCACCCGGGGACCCGACGGGGCGAAAACGGTGCACCCCGACCGCGACCCAGAGCGCGCCCGGCAAAGTTAGCCAACGCCCGGCAGGCAGGGGTTCCGGGAGCGGGAAGGACCGCGGGGCTCGGGGAGGGCGTAGGAAAGCGGGGTCCGAGGTCTGGGGTCGGCGTTGAGGGGCGGGAACTGGGGGGACCGGAGTGCAGGCGTCTGGGGCGGGGGTCGCTCTGGGGACCAGGAGTCGGGGTCGAGGGCTGGGGGTCGCGGCCAGGGACCAGGTCCGGCAGGACGGGGAACGCACCGGGCGCGCATCCCCACCGCGTCGGCCGCAGCGCCCCGACGCGCCCCCCCCACCTCGCGCCCCCCGTCCCGCGCGCCCCGCGCCGCACATGCGCAGTGCAGCCCGCGATGTGGCAGTCGGGAGGGGGGGCCGGGCCGGGGGCGGCCGCCGTCTGAGCCCCGCGCTCTCGGGCCCGGGGAGCACGCGGCGCACCCGCGCGCCCCCGAGCCCCGGGGAGGGGGTCTCCGGGCCCGAGAGCCCGGCGAGGCCGCGGCCGGGGCGGGAGCGCGGGGCGGGGGCGGGGGGCCGGCTCCCCCGGCCAGCTCACTCACCTCCGCCATGGCCGTATGTGCGCGGGAGGCGGGGCCGCGCCGGGATCCCCGGATGCGGGGCCGCGCCCTGATTGGCTGCAGCGCCGGGGAAGGCGGCGCCGCGGGGCGGGGCCGGGCCGCCCGGGTGGGTGCACGCGCGGGGACCCGGGGGCGGGCGCGCGCTCGGGGGTTGCTTGGGACCTCGGCCTCGGCCCCCCGGGGCTGGGGGCATCTGCAAATAAAAACGCTGATTCCTGACAACCACGCCCGGGTGGGGAACGCTGGCCTAGTTCCTCCCGTCACGTCGTAGCTGAGCACCAGCAGGACCCCGAGGTGCAGATGAGGAAACCGAGGCCCGTAGGCACAGCCTCAAATATGTAGGTGATGGAGCCAGCAGCGAGTCTGGGAGGTGTGGTTCTGCAACTTTCTGCACTTTTGCACCAGTGATGGTCCATCTGGGCCAGAGTCTACTGGGTAGCTTGCAAAAATGCCCCTTGAGCTTTGAGGAACATGGCCTCCATATACTGGGACTCAGCGTCCCAACTGGTGAACAGGTGGGGGGGATCGAACCCAGGGTCATTTGACTCTAAAAACCATTGGTGTTTTTTTAATTCGTTGATTAAATATTTTCGGAACGTTTGCACGTTGTGCACCTATGCTGGGTGCTGAGGGGGAAATTGAACAAGACAGTCCTAACAGATTCACCACATTTTAAATTTCAGGTTGACAGGTACTCTGTCATGGCAGGGGATGTAGAGAGGGAGTAGGGGAGATCAGGGAGGAGGCAGCACAGATGTCAGTGTGGGAACAGACACGCGCAGACAGTAGGGTAGGTGACTCCGAAAGAAAGATGCCCTGGTGGAGTGCAGGCCAGACGAGACGGGGAGAAGGTATCTGGCTTGCACAAACGAGTGCATGTTTGTGCTGAGGCCAGGAGGAATAAAACTGGGGAGGCAGAGGATGCAAGAGCCCCATTCCTTTCCCCGATGCGAACCAACAGAATATTGAGTAGTCAAGATGGACCATGCTCTATGCCTGATCTAAAAGCATTATCCAGCCCTCTGAGAACCTTCTAGCCAGAAAGAGAAGAACCAGCTTTGAAAAGTCTATCCTGATCTCTACCAGTATAAGTCAGTGAATCCCCCTCCCCACTTCCTGTGTCTTCTTACATCATTTGGATGGGGGTTCCCACCTTTGTGACTGAGACCAGCCTCAAAGCCCTTTGTCACTTGTACAGAGAATAATTGGTTATTAAGTCACTCATCAATGATCTGAATACCTGTCCCCTGCAGCCCTCCCACTGGAAAACCAGAGGTTCAGTGATGCAGGGAGCTGCATCCACAGATACAAGGAGAGTCGGGCTCTGTGAATAACAGGTGGCAGGAATGGCAGAAAAGGCTGACTCAAGAGGATAGTCTTTGGTGAGAATCATCAAATAGATGTGAACTGAAGGAGAAAGGGCTTCAGACTTCAGCTTGACCTTTGCACCTGCAGGGCATAGTGATGAGGGGCACAGCCCCTCAGGATGAGTTGGATCACCCCACCAGGTCAGCCTCTTAGACTGGCCAAGGAGAATGGGTGGAGGATATCTGGAGAGGCAGGGGCTGATGAGTCTGGGTTATAGCTCCAAGGCAGAGAGTGAGGGCTGTGGCTCACCCCATTTATCTCTTTCCTGTAAGTTTCCCTCCAGAAAAGGAGGCCCAGAAGGAACACGATCCTAGAAGGCACTGTTTCCAGGACACATGGAGCTGAGCGCTTCAGACTGGGGGTGGGCACATCTCCCATCACAACCAGCCCACCCCCACCCTCACCCTCTGCTGCGAGCAAACACACGAACAAACTTCAGTTCTCCCTGCTACTGGGGGTGCTGGCGGCTCGTGGTCCTCAGCTGAGTCTCCTGGTTCTTGCCTTTGGCAGCCAACGCCACCCATACACAGGGGTTGTGGGTGCAGAGATCTGAGCACCTGTGACTGACAGGGGCAGGCTCCGGAGGAGGGGCTGGAACCTTGCCTCTTTGGCGCCTCTTCCTTATGTCCAGTCCTGCCAGGCAGGTGCTGCCCGCAGGGAGGTCCCCAGTAATCTTCCTGCCCATAATCTGTCTCAAAGTTTGTTTTCAGGGGACCTAGCCTCTGCCACAAAACATGAGTCATATTTTGAACGATTTAAAAAACAAACAAGAGAGGTGATACCAGTTGAAAGTATGATATTAATGGGAGGAAGAAGAAGGAAAACCAAATATTTATTCTATCAAGAGATATAAATGACGATATGAAACGATGCAAAGATTGGTGAGTGTCACGGAGCACTGGGCCTCACCGAGCACTTAGAACTGCAAGACACCGCTCGGGCTCAGGGCACAACAAACAACGGGGTTTACTTACAAAGGGGTGAAAGAGAGAAGGAAATTGAAGGAAGGAAAGACTCTCTAAGGACAGAAAGGCGAACAGTCCTACCCCAGATAGCGTCCAGTTGGCCGAGGCAACTCGTGCAAGATGGTTTTGTCCCCTTGAAGACAGCCTGGAGCTGGTGGCACACCAAGTAAGTGGTGGACCAGAATTCGGCCCACAGTGGCAGCTGGGGAGGTCACCCGTGGTGCTGCTGAGATGGCACAGCAGCCAAAAGCAGGAATCTGAAAGCCAGGCTGGACAGCGCCAGACACAGCAGCACCAGGAGATGATGCCAGTTGTTCCATGGGCAGGAACAGTAGCCAGGCAATGGTGCCAGAGAGTCAGAAGCAGTGGACAGCTCTTAGAGGCTACTGGACACTGGGCTTAAGTGCACAGTGCTCTTAGAGATACCGGGCATAAGCCACGGGTGCCAGAGGACCAGGCGCAGTGCAGGTGGGCACAGTCAGCAGGTGATGTTGGAGGCAGGAGCAGCGGTCAGGAGGCAGCTTGAAGCAGAGATCAGAAATGAAGGTTTGCGAAGTTCTACCATGTTCTGTGAAGTCCTAGAGTCTAGGCTCCAAAATCCCTCTTTAGAGGCCGATTTCCCAAACTCCCCAGGAAGCAAACACTGAGATGAAAATCTGGACGCTGGAAGTTCTCTGGGGAGGGCTCGGAAGAGCAAAGCCTGTGAGGAAGGGATGTCAGCAGGGCAGGGAGAAAAGGGGACCGCCAGGCGGGCAGGCAGAGCCTTCCTGAGCTGGGCTGGGCTGGGCATCACCCCCTCGAGAGCGCTGGGCAGGGCCCCTGCTGTCAAGCACCAGCCAGGCAGCCAGCAGGGTTGGGAAGAGCACCTGAGGCAGCTTCTGCCCCTCCCAGATGCCCGACAGCCGCGGCACTCTCTCTCATTTCTGTATTTCATTCTGAGAATTGGAGTGGTTTGTACTTTTATTCTAGCGATTACCTTCATGAGTATAATTTTATATAAGCTACTTAATCCTACCAGCACTGTTAGAATGTGATGAATTTGAAAATTCTCCAGTTACCATATTAAAATGTTAAAAAAACAGTAAGATACATTTTATTTAACACAACACAGCTTTTAAATATTCTCTTTTCAACTTGTAATCAATTAAAAATTCTCTTACACCACTCAGGCTGCTATAACAAATCCCACAAACCAGGTGACTTGTAAACAACAGGAATGTATTTCTCGGTTTGGGGTGTTGGAAGTCCAAGGGCCTGGGGAGAAGAGACCCCATGGGGGAGTTAATCCCATCCACAAGGATTCCTAATCAAGTCCCAGGCCCCCACCTCCTATCACCGCCACCTTGGAGGTGAGGATTCAGCACATAAAAGGGGGAGAGACAAGCACTTTGACCATAACAATTATTAAGGCAGTTTACATACTTCTTTCAAACTGTGTGGTTGAGAATGTGTCCGATTTCCCCCGAGGGTGTAAGCGGGGCTGCCCACACCTACCAGCCAGCCTTGGGCTCCATCTTGAATCTGTTCCTTTGCCACACCGTAGGTAGCTTCCCAAAACTCTTTAGTAAATCAAAGTGTTTCTAAGATTAAAAATGAGAATTCAGGAGATAGCTAGATCATTCTAACTGAAATTCTAAAACTTTTCAGTCTACATTTGGCTCCTTATTGCAATACAATTAAAGAATTTATTATCAGGGCCTCCCTAGTGGCACAAGGGGTTAAGTCTCAGCACTATGAAGCTATCGGCAGCCTCTGCAGCACGAGTTCGATCCCTGGACAGGGAGCTGACCCACATGGCACAGCAGACCTCTCCTGTCTCGCCCCCTGCTCCCCTCAGCAGTGTATTTCAGTAGATCCACCTGTTCTGCTCCCCACTCAGTCTCTGGTGAATCCTTGCACCCCCACATCTCTAGCCTGTACCCCAGTTCTTCTACACAGAAAAATAAAAAAAGAAAGAACAATTCAACTTCCAAATTGTGGAACTTCTTAAGAAGTCAAAGGTGAGACTGTAGGGGAGCAAACCCAGGTGACCACAAGTTAGATAAGCTGGGGAACAGCTCTACCACCCAGCAGGTGATGACACTGGCTCTTGTTAGCAGAAAGTAGCTACAGAAGACAAGCTGTACCCACTGTACCTCAACAATGAAGAACAGACTAAAACAGACTAAAACCCCGTGCAAAACTTTATCCCCATATAAAACCAGAACATCTCACTGATTACATGTTCTCCCAGCTGTAGTTTTGTTGTAGCTGAAAATTTTGGAGGAGCTGAAAGCTTTGTAAACTCTGCTACTGTTTTTTTTTTTTTTTAAAGAGGCATGTATTATTTATTTATTTGTTTGTTTGTTTGTCTGTTTGTTTATACAAGCACTGGGTACAGTCAGAAGCACAGGAGGGTGAGAGAATTCACCAGAGCCAGAGCGGGGAGCAGAGCAGGCAGAAGGACCGAAGGACACTGCTGAGGGGAGCAGCGGGCGGCAGGAGAGGTCTGCGCGCCATGTGGGACCCTCCTCCGGTGGCCGGGGAGCAGCCGGGGATCGAACCGGCGCCGCAGAGGCCGCGGGCAGACTCGCAGCCCAGCGCTCAACCGCTGCGCCACCAGGGAGGCCCAACTCTGCTACTGTTTAAAGGTAAATTGCAGAATCAGTGAGTTGCAAGTAAAGCCTCAATCCTGAAGA